GATTGAGCATCAGCCGGGAGCCAGGAGGTCAGGGTTTGATCCCCGATCAGGGCACAGGCCCCGGTCGGGGGCTCCAACCCCAGTGGGGGGCGTGCAGGAGGCAGCTGGTCCAAGGTCCTATCCCATCGTGGATGTTTCTCTCTCTGTCCCTCTCCCTTCCTCTCTCTCCGCAAACGTATTAAAAATGAGTAAATAAAGAATAGAAACGCCGGTGCCAAGCCCCAGGACAAGAGGCTGACCCTGCGAGTCTCCGTGTTGTGTTTTGTCATAAAAATTAAAACAAAATGTGAACCTGCCTGGCGAGTCTGTGGAGAGGGGGCGCCGGGAGGTGCAGGCTCAGCTCACCGTCCGCCTCGGGGAGTGAGCAGTCAGCAGCCCCCCAAAGCGCTGCCCCTGCGGCCCCCCCACACCCACACCCCCGGCCCGCAGCACCCACAGGCCCGCCCCGCCCCACCCCGCCCGCCCCCGGCCCGCGGCACCCACAGGCCCACCCCCCCCCACCCCGCCCGCCCCGGGCCCGCGGCACCCACAGGCCCGCCCGTCCCGGGCCCGAGGTACCCACACCCCCGGCCCGCAGCACCCACACCCCCGGCCCGCGGCACCCACAGGCCCGCCCCCACCACCCCGCCCGTCCTGGGCCCGAGGCACCCACACCCCCGGCCCGCAGCACCCCACACCCCGGCCCGCGGCACCCACACCCCCGGCCCGAGGCACCAACAGGCCCACCCCCCCCACCCCGCCCGCCCCGGGCCCGAGGCACCCACACCCCCGGCCCGCGGCACCCACAGGCCCGCCCGCCCCACCCCGCCCGCCCCCGGCCCGCCGCACCCACAGGCCCGCCCCCCCACCCCGCCTGCCCCGGGCCCGAGGCACCCACACCCCAGGCCCGCGGCACCCACACCCCCGGCCCGCGGCACCCACAGGCCCGCCCGCCCCACCCCGCCCGCCCCCGGCCCGCGGCACCCACAGGCCCACCCCCCCCCACCCCGCCCGCCCCGGGCCCGCGGCACCCACACCCCCGGCCCGCGGCACCCACAGGCCCGCCCGCCCCGGGCCTGAGGCTGAGCTCGGGGCCTGGCCCGGCCGCTCACAGTTGACGTTGAACTCCCCGGCACTCTCCGTTCTCTCGGCCAAGATCTTCTTCTCAACGCACCACCGGGCGCCCTGCCTACAGGGGGGACGGCGTGACGGTGACGGTGACGGTGACGGTGACGGTGACGCCGAGGCTGCCGGCGGCCACATCACCCCTCACACAGCCAGGCGGCGGCGGGAGGCCCGGCCCCCCCCGCTGCCTCACCAGCCGCCTCGGCACAGCCCGCTCCCCACGCTGGCCCCGGCCGCTCCGAGGGCCCAGAGCCGTGGCAGCGGCTCCAAGGGGCCCAGCTCTGCCCCCCGGGCCCCGGCCCCCGGCCCCCGGCCCCCTCAGGAGCCTCCCGCAGCCGGGACACCCACCGTCCGCGGACCATGATCTCCAGGTCGCCCTGGGCCGTGGGCTTCAGCTCCTGGACGTACAGCCTCAGGGGGGCGCCCAGCAGGGCGGGGTTGCTGGCCGCCATGGCCACGGTGTACCAGGTCCCAGCCACCTGTGAGGGGCCTGCGCTCACTGGAGGGCAGGGGCGCGGCCGGGGCCCCAGCTCCCGGGGCCCCCCGTCCCTCCCGGCGCGGCTGACAGGGCTGCCCAGGGCCCGCGCGCCGAGGACGCCCGTGCAGCCGTGGCTCAGTCACGCCCTGAGCTTCCCGGCACCACCTGGGCGGTGGGATGGAGAGCAACGAAGGGTCCCGGCACCCCAGCCTCCGCCCCCTGAGCCGGCGCCCCACGGCCCCGCCGCCCGGCAGAGCGCCCGGCCCCAGACCTTCGGGGCATCCAGGTCCTCCATGGGCCGGGGGACGGCCACGTCCTGGGTGCCGCACACGAGGGCGACGCTGAGGGCGAGCAGGAGGCGCCTCATGGCTGCGGCTGCGGCTGGGGCTGCGGGATCGGCTCCGTGGAGTCAGCGGCCGCCTTATATGGGGCACGGCCGGCCCCGAGGGCCCCGGCCACGGTTTCCCGAATCCCGGCTCTTCCTCCCCGGGACAATGGGACCTTCTTCCCTCTGGTTGGAGCCGGAAGGCCCGCTGTGCCCCCAGTTCCCGGTAGAGCCCGGAGGGAAGGATGGGGGCCGGGCGGGCGGCCAGCGGGAGGGACACGGGGGGGGGGGCCCTGGACAGCGAGCCTGACCTGGTTCTCCCTGGACTCCGCGTCCCACCAGCCACAGGAGCCAGGACAGCGCCCCCTCTGGAAACCTGGGGTCTCTACACTGGAGAAGGTCCTGACTTTTTCTCCCCAGAACCCCCTCTTTTTAAATGCTTTTTTAGATTTTTATTTTTTTTAAACATTTTATTGATTTTGTACAGAGAGGAAGGGAGAGAGATAGAGAGTTAGAAACATCGATGAGAGAGAGTCATCGATCAGCTGCCTCTTGCACACCCCCCACCGGGGATATGCCCGCAACCAAGGTACATGCCCTTGACTGGAATCGAACCCGGGACCCTTCAGTCCCCAAGCCGACGCTCTATCCATTGAGCCAAACCGGTCCCGGCGCTTTTTTAGATATTTAGAAGAGAGAAGAAGAGGGGGAGAGAGAGACAGAAACACCGACCCCACAGGCCGCCCCCGCCCATCGCCGACCAGAGCGAGCTCACACCCGGACACTCGCCCTGCGGGAACCGGGCCACACCGGCTGGTCGGCACACCGCGCTCTCAAGCCACAGGCGGCTCTTTGGCCCCTGGAGTGTGGCTCTTCCACAGAACACCACGGCCTGGGCGAGTCTGTGTTGAAGAAGTGGCGTGAGAAGGAGTTTAAGTTAAAAAAAAGTGTGGCTTTCCAAAGAGATGTCAATCGTCGTCCTGTTGGTATTGGGCTCTGCAGACTCATGAGTTTGCCGACCACTGGGCGAGGCCAAAACTCACCCCTAAACCCACTTTCTCCCGCTCCGGCCCCGGGTCCGAGGCCGCACAGTCTGAGGGGCGCACGGAGAGACACACCCTGAGCGGCCCCGCCCCGCCCTCAGGGGCTCCGCCAGCTCAGCTGCAAGTTCTTCTGGGGAAACAAGGGGCCTCATTCGCCACTGACAGCACCTGGGGGCCGTACGGAGGCTGGGCCGGCCCTCAGCGGGGACGTGGCCAGAGGCCCCGGGTTGGGGGTGCGAGGCGGGGGCCGTGCCCCCTCAGAGGCGCCGACCCGCTAACCCCAGCGGACAGAGGCCGGACCGCCCCCCACCCCGCCCGGAGCGAGGCCTGGTCTGTGGCGAGCGGCGTCCGCCCGGGTCACCCGCTTCCTCTCGTCCTCCAGGTTCAAGGGGCTCCACTTTTTTTAATTTATTTTATTTTTTAAAATATATTTTATTGATTTTTTTACAGAGAGGAAGGGAGAGGGATAGAGAGCCAGAAACATCGATGAGAGAGAAACACCCATCGGCTGCCTCTTGCACAGCCCCCACTGGAGATCTAGACCACAACCCGAGCATGTGCCCCTGACGGGAATCGAACCCGGGACCATTCAGTCCACAGGCCGGTGCTCTACCCACTGAGCCACACCGGTCAGGGCCCACCTTTTGTTTAATGAAATAAAAAGCCTCCAGGCGCTCGGCCGTGGCCCCGGGAGTGCCCGGAGGAGCAGCCTGGCCAGTTCTCCGAGGAAGTGCCCAGAGGCCAGGGGGCAGGGACCTGCCCTGGGGTCAGTGGGAAGCGGAAGCGGCTCCTCGGGTCTGACCGGTTTGTCCCCCGAGGGTCCCACAGACGCGGGTCCGACAGCCCCTCCGTCTCACAGACTTACAGGATGTCAGGGCGACGCCCCCTCCCCGGCCTCTGCCCCGCCCAGAGCTCGCCTTCCCCCACTTCCGTCTCCCCGACGCCCGGCCCGGCCGGAGGGCCAGGAGGCGCAGCCCGCCCGCCCGCCCGCCCGTGGCCGAGGCCGTGGCCCTGGCCGTGTCTCCGCTTCGCTCCCAGGGGTGCTGTTGGGGGAGGTGTTTCGCATTGACAATAATCTCTTCCAGTTTCATTGCGAAGAACACGTTTGTTTGTTTTAATGTTTTTATTGATTTCAGAGAGGTAGGGAGAGGGAGAGAGAAATATCAATGATGAGAGAGTCATCAATGATGAGAGAGAATCATTGATTGGCTGGAGATCAAGCCTGAAACCCGGGCATGTGCCCTGACGGGAATCGAACCCGGGACCATTCAATCCACAAGCCGGTGCTCTATCCGCTGAGCCACACCGGCCAGGGCTTAACTTTTAATTGTTTGATGAATTGCTCTCGTTTGTCAACAGATGCATGTTTAGGGGCAAATGAGGATGTCCTGACACCATCACCCCCCAGTACACACACACACACACACACATACACGCACAGTACAAATGTCCCCAGTGCACACACACACAGTGCACACACTCCCAGTGCACATACAGAGTGCACACACACACACCCAGTGCACACACACAGTGACACACACCCAGTGCACACACATAGCGTGCACACACACACAGTGCGCACATACCCAGTGCACACACACACAGTGCACACACACCCAGTACAAATGTCCCCAGTGCACACACACACAGTGCGCACATACCCAGTGCACACACACACAGTGCACACACACCCAGTACAAATGTCCCCAGTGCACACACACACAGTGCACACATACACACAGTGCACACACACACAGAGCACACACACTCCCAGTACAAATGTCCCCAGTGCACACACACACAGTGCACACACTCCCAGTGCACACACACACAGAGCGCACACACACACACACCCAGTGCACACATACACACACAGTGCACACACACCCAGTGCACACACACAGCGCGCGCACACACACCGTGCACACACACAGTGCACTTACACACCCACAGTGCTTAACCCCCAGAGTACATGGCCCAGTGCACACAGCCCCCTCCCCGGAGGCCTACAGAGAGAGGACCACAGCCTGGAGGCCTCGGCGGGCACAGCTTATGCAAAGAGCACGTGAGAAACCATGGCAACGAGCTGAATTATCCCCAGGTTTATCGTGTGCTCAATGTGACCTGGGGCATTCGGGGGCGGGAGATAACAGGCAATCAGCATGCTCTTATGTGTGAAATAGCAACGCAAGTGCCTTCCCTCCATTTAACCCGAAGAGCCGTCTCAGGTGCTGACTATACAGAAGTCAGAGAACGCTGACATTCAGAGGCGGCCTAGACCCTGCCCCGCCCGCCAGGGACTGCCTTCATCAGCGACGGGGTCACCCAGGGGCGGGAACCAGAGGAGCCAGACCGGAGACCTCAGGGGCCGATCAGAGCGGCCGCCCCGAGGCCTGAGGGAGGGCCCGCCGGCCTCGAACCGGGTTCCCGGGTTTACTGAGCGTCTTCGGGCCGGTGAGGGGCCCGTCGCCTGCTCCCAGGCTGCGGTGCGTGGCCGGGCCGGCGGCCGGGGGATGTGCTGCCCGGCATCCTTCCCCTTGTCCACTCCCTCACGGGAGCCGGCCACTGTCCGCCAGCTCCAGCTCCGGCCCTGACTCACCCCCGGGGAACCCCCCTCCGCCCCTGCCCCCCCACCGGGCGGCCGTGTGGGGCCTGTGGGGGCTGTGGGGGCTGTGGGGGGCCGTGTGGGGTCTGGGGGGCCGTGCGGGGCCTGGGGGTCTGTGTGGGGCCTGGGGCGGCCGTGCAGGGCCTGTGGGGGCTGTGGGGGGCCGTGCGGGGCCTGGGGGGCCGTGCGGGGCCTGTGGGGGCTGTGGGGGCTGTGGGGGGCCGTGTGGGGTCTGGGGGGCTGTGTGGGGCCTGGGGCGGCCGTGCAGGGCCTGTGGGGGCTGTGGGGGGCCGTGCGGGGCCTGGGGGTGCCATGCAGGGCCTGTGGGGGCTGTGGGGGGCCGTGTGGGGCCTGGGGAGACCATGTGGGGTCTGGGGGGCCGTGCGGGGCCTGGGGCGGCCGTGCAGGGCCTGTGGGGGCTGTGGGGGGCCGTGCGGGGTCTGGGGGGCCGTGCGGGGCCTGGGGGGGCTGTGGAGGGCCGTGTGGGGCCTGGGGAGACCATGTGGGGTCTGGGGGTGCCATGCAGGGCCTGTGGGGGCTGTGGGGGGCCGTGCGGGGCCTGGGGAGACCATGTGGGGTCTGGGGGGCCGTGCGGGGCCTGGGGCGGCCGTGCAGGGCCTGTGGGGGCTGTGGGGGGCCGTGCGGGGTCTGAGGGTGCCATGCAGGGCCTGTGGGGGCTGTGGGGGGCCGTGCAGGGTCTGGGGGGCCGTGCGGGGTCTGGGGGGCCTTGCAGGGCCTGTGGGGGGGCCGTGCGGGGCCTGTGGGGGGCCGTGCGGGGCCTGTGGGGGGCCGTGCGGGGCCTGTGGGGGCTGTGGGGGGCCGTGCAGGGTCTGGGGGGCCGTGCGGGGTCTGGGGGGCCATGCGGGGCCTGTGGGGGCTGTGGGGGGCCGTGTGGGGTCTGGGGGGCCGTGCGGGGTCTGGGGGGCCTTGCAGGGCCTGTGGGGGCTGTGGGGGGCCGTGCGGGGCCTGTGGGGGCTGTGGGGGGCCGTGCGGGGCCTGGGGAGACCATGTGGGGTCTGGGGGGCCGTGCAGGGCCTGGGGGACCGTGCGGGACAGTGGACACAGGGAGGGAGGGAGGGCGTGGGAGCTGAGGCCCTGCACAGGCTGTGGGGCAGCACGGCTGAGGTCCAGCGACAAGGAGGCCCCTGGAGGAGCCGCAGAGTGTGCCTCTCAGGGCAGCGTGTGCCTCGCCCGGCCTCCCTCCCGTTTCGCAGGCACCGACAGGGGAGCCGTGTGCACCCTGAGCTTGCTGAGCCCGAGGCCGGCCTGGCCCCCGCGGATCACAGCTCAGCCACGTCCGCTTTCTCGGCTCCTGGTTTGCTGGGGAAGCGGCCATGCCACGGGTCACGGCAGCCCACCAGCCACCTGTGCCCTTGACCGGAACCGAACCCTGACCTCCTGGTTCACAGGTCAACGCTCAAACCCCGAGCCCGCCGCCGGGCTCCCCGGCTCTTCACGGCTCGGCTCGGCTCCAGCGGCACTTCCTCCCGGAGCTCTCCCGGCCCGACGGCTCCGCCCCCACGCCGAGCCACACCCGCTGCAGCTGGGCCCCGGCTGCCCTCCCAACCAGGGTCGTCTGAGACCCGTGCATTTCCTGTTGGGCTCACAGCTCCCCCGGAGCCAGCCCGGCGCCTGGCACGGAGCACGTGCTACACGGAAAGCACACAACAAGGTGGCAGTGGACACGCGTGGTCTATTTCACCGCAGACAGGGCACAGCAGCGTCTTCCTGCCACGCCCCCTGGGGGATGGGCGGGGGAGGACGGGCGGGGGGGCCCTGGGGGACGGGCAGGGGGGCTGTGACCCAGAGGGACCTGGGGGGACGAGCGGGGGGGCCCCTGGGGGACGGGCGGGGGGCCCTGGGGGACGGGCGGGGGGCTGTGACGCAGAGGGGCCCCGGGGATGGGCAGGGGGCCCCGGGGGTCGGGCGGGGGGCTGTGACCCAGAGGGACCCCGGGGGACGAGCGGGGGGGCCCCGGGGGACGGGCGGGGGGGCCCCGGGGGACGGGCAGGGGGGCCCCGGGGGACGGGCAGGGGGGCCCCGGGGGACGGGCGGGGGGCCCCGGGGGTCGGGCGGGGGGCTGTGACCCAGAGGGACCCCGGGGGACGAGCGGGGGGGCCCCTGGGGGATGGGCAGGGGGGCCCCTGGGGACGGGCAGGGGGGCCCCGGGGGACGGGCAGGGGGGCCCCGGGGGACGGGAGGGGGGGCCCCGGGGACGGGCAGGGGGGCCCCTGGGGGACGGGAGGGGGGCCCCGGGGGACGGGCGGGGGGCTGTGACCCAGCGGGGCCCCGGGGGACGGGCGGGGGGCTGTAACCCAGAGGGGCCCCGGGGACGGGCAGGGGGGCCCCGGGGGTCGGGCGGGGGGCTGTGACCCAGGGGGGCCCCGGGGGTCGGGCGGGGGGCTGTGACCCAGAGGGGCCCTGGGCTCCCGCCATGCGGGCCCGGGCTCGGCAGCCGCCTCCCAGCAGCTCGGCGCCGAGGGAGAGCGCGGCTGGTCAGGGCCGGATGCTGTGGGCACAGGAGGCTGCGGGGGCAGGGACGGGCTGGGCCGCGGCTCCGTGCACAGGCGGCGGCTCTCCCTGGCGTCACGCACGCGGGTCCCCAGCCCCGCCGGGACCCCTCGGCCGGGCTTTACCGTCTTTCGGGAGGACCGTGGCGCCCCTCGTGAGCTCCCGGACCTCACAGAATTCCACGAACGTCCTCCAGCTGGCGAAGGCGGTCTCCTTCTGTCTGCCTGCGGGCGGCGCCGTGGCCTCAGAGCCACCCGCGCCCGCCGGCCCCTCCCGGCCCACGGTGTGGGCGCTGGCGAAGGGGAGCTGGGCCAGGCCGGGCCCCCCTGCCAGGACCCCCCAAGGCCCTGCTGCTCCTCAGGGAGTGCTCCCGGAGCCCCAGCACCCACCCTGAGGCCTCCTGGTGCCGCCGCCACGGTGTCTGTCCACGTCCCTGCCTCCGCCCGCCCAGCCCCCGACCCCCCACTCACTGAGGAGCACTCACTGAGGAGCACCCCCCGAGCACTCACTGAGGAGCACCCCCCGAGCACTCACTGAGGAGCACCCCCGAGCACTCACTGAGGAGCACTCACTGAGGAGCACTCCCCGAGGAGCACTCACTGAGGAGCACTCACTGAGGAGTACCCCCGAGCACTCACTGAGGAGCACTCACTGAGGAGCACTCACTGAGGAGCACCCCCCCAGACGGCCTGGAGCACTCACTGAGGAGCACTCACTGAGGAGCACTCACTGAGGAGCACTCACTGAGGAGCAGCAGGGCCTTGGGGCCCCGGCCGGTCCGGCCCAGGCGCAGGTCCACCACGCCGGCGCGGTAGTCCGTGGTCAGCACGCGGAAGCCGGCCACGCCCTTCACTGGACGGAGAGCACAGGCCGCCTGACACCACCGCTCGGGGGGCAGAGGGAAGGCTTTGGGGGTCCCCCACCCCGGACCCGGGCCCCAGGACTGCCCCGGGGCTCTGGGCAGGACAGCTCTGGGGCGGCCGGCGGCCTGTCTTGGGGTCCCCGCCGGCTGTACCCCGGGGGAGAGGGGCCACGGGGGGGGGGGGGCCCTCACACGCACGGGGGTTCCGGAACACGGCCTTCTTCCCGTCCTTCCGCAGGACAACGGTGTGCGACCGGCACCCCTGAGACCTGCGGGGGGGGGGGCTGTGACTCACGGCCCGGGCCCGCTTCCCCCTGCAGACACCGCCCCCCAAAGGCTCTGCCCCGTGGGGCCCGGGCGGGGGGGGGGGGTGCCTTCGAGGCTCTCCTTTCAGAACTTCGGGGGGTCGGGCCCGTCTGCTCAGGGGACCCTCCGGGCACCACACCTGCCCCGGCTGCCCCAGGGGCCTCTCCCAGCCCAGCCCTGGGCGTCTCAGGGGCAGGAAGTGGGGAGGGGCTGCCCGGGACCTGCCCACCTCCCGTCCTCCCTGTGGTTGCTCGGGGCGGCGGGGGAGTGGGGTCTCCACTCGGGGTGCTGGGGCGGCAGGGGGGGCTGGGGGGGACCGATTGGGCTGCTCGGGGCGGCGGGGGGTGGGGTCTCCCTCGGGGTGCTGGGGCGGCGGGGGGTGGGGTCTCCCTCGGGGTGCTGGGGCGGCGGGGAGTGGGGTCTCCCTCGGGGTGCTGGGGCGGCGGGGGAGTGTCGGGGTGCTAGGGCGGCGGGGGAGTGGACCCCTCGTCCTCACCGGGGGAGGGCGAGCACCACCCGCAGGCGGCCCGCGCCGAGCACCTGCACCAGCGCCGCCCCCAGCCGCCGCGCGTCCCGGCCCGGCAGGAAGGCCCGGGCGTCGGAGGCGATGGCGAGGATGTACCAGAACCCTGCGAACTGCAGAGGGGGCGCTGGGGATGGGCGCTGGCGCTCCCCGGGCTCCCGAGGACCCTGGACCGCGGCCGCCCCGTGCAGGGCGGAGGGGCCGGGCGGAGGGGCCCAGGGCGGAGGGGCCCAGGGCGGAGGGGCCCAGGGCGGAGGGGCCCAGGGCGGAGGGGCTCAGGGCGGAGGGGCCCGGCGGAGGGGCGCAGGGCGGAGGGGCGCAGGGCGGAGGGGCCCAGGGCGGAGGGGCCCAGGGCGCAGGGCGGAGGGGCGCAGGGCGGAGGGGCTCAGGGCGGAGGGGCCCGGCGGAGGGGCGCAGGGCGGAGGGGCGCAGGGCGCAGGGCGGAGGGGCCCAGGGCGGAGGGGCGCAGGGCGCAGGGCAGAGGGGCCGGGCGGAGGGGCCCAGGGCGCAGGGCGGAGGGGCCCAGGGCGGAGGGGCTCAGGGCGGAGGGGCCCGGCGGAGGGGCGCAGGGCGGAGGTGCGCAGGGCGGAGGGGCGCAGGGCGGAGGGGCCGGGCGGAGGGGCCCAGGGCGGAGGGGCCCAGGGCGGAGGGGCCGGGCGGAGGGGCCCAGGGCGCAGGACGGAGGGGCGCAGGGCGGAGGGGCGCAGGGCGGAGGGGCCGGGCGGAGGGGCCCAGGGCGCAGGGCGGAGGGGCGCAGGGCGGAGGGGCCGGGCGGAGGGGCCCAGGGCGCAGGGCGGAGGGGCGCAGGGCGGAGGGGCGCAGGGCGGAGGGGCCGGGAGGAGGGGCCGGGCGGAGGGGCCCAGGGCGGAGGGGCCCAGGGCTGGGCACCGAGGGCCGAGCCTCCGTTCCTGGGGACTCCCAATCCCCCGGCACCCGTCCCGCCGACTTCCTGCTGCAAACCCGCGTCCCCAGGCTTGGCCTGTGCCCACCGCCACGGGCCAGCAGCCTCATTATTCCAGAACATTCCCTGCTCATTCCACCCCCTGGCCACCCAGCACGTCCAGGTAACCTGGGGCCACACCGGTCGGGGCGTCCGCTCTGCCCACCTCGGCTGCCGGCCCGGGGGCCACAGAGGCCGTCCACCCCCCGGAGAGGCCGGTGGGCAGCGCGCTGGGCCGTGGGGTTCCTGCCCCTCCCGCCCTGTGCTCAGGATGCCCCCCGCGGCCCCCGCCCTCCGTGGCGGCCGTGGCCCAGGGGCCACGAGGCTCACCTTGTTCCAGTTGAGGTTGTGGGACTCCCTGGGGCGCTGCTCCGGGGGCTGGGCCCCCACAGCCAGCACCAGCGCCAGCACCAGCCCCGGCCCCGGCCCCATGCTCGCCCTCCTCGCTCAGCGCCGACGCGGAGCTTAAATCTCCTGCCGTCTGCAGGACCACAGCGTCCTGGCGCTGCCAGAGGGCGGGGGTGGGTGCGGGGAGGGCGGGGCTGTGGGTCCTCACCCGGTCCCCGCACAGAGGGCACGGCCCCTCCCACCCTCGCCCCCCACCCCACCCGCCCTCGGCCCTCAGAGCTGCACAGCCCCTGGGCGGCCAGCCTGGGGCCTGGGACGGAGGCCGTCCTGTTCCCCGTCTCTCCCCTGGCCCCTCGTCAAGGCGGAGCCCCCGGAGTGGTCTCACCTGGCGGCCATGGCCTGGAGCTGCCTCCTCGATGCCAGGGCCTGGACGGGCGGCCGGGCCGGCAGACACGTGTGCACACGGGCTCCGGAGCATGTGGGTGCTGCTCTCCTTGACCGAGGCCGGTGGGCACCGGCCCTGAGTGACAGGCCGCCCTCCTCCTCAGCTCCCTCCGGCCGGGGCTCCAGGCAGAGCCCAGCTCACAGGACGGCAGGCTCAGGCCTATTGCTGCCCCCATCCCGCCCCCACCTCCACCCCTGCCCCCACCCTGGACCGCGGCCCTGACTGGGACCCCGACCCTGCCCCCGCCCCCGCCCCCGCCCCCGCCCCCAGCCCAGGCCGGCACAGCCAAACTGGAGCCCAGGACACTGCCGCCCAGCCAAGCCCTGCGCTGGGGCCAGCTTCCTCTGCCCGACACCCAGACGGACAGCACCAGCCCCAGGGCCCTGGCCGCCTGGGGCCTCGGTGACAGGACGAGCAGCCTCTCCCGCCAGCCCCTCGGCCCCGGGGCCTTCATCAGACACAGGTGCAGGCGAGGCTGTGGGCAGCCTCTTGTCCCAGAGCCGGCTCCCCACCAGGGGTCAGCCCGGGGGAGCCCACCGCACCCAAGCCCTCCCGCCCGCCCAGAGCCGGCCAGAGCCGGCGAAGGCGGGGCCCAGGGTCCACTCGCACACGCGAGGCTGGACGGCCGTGAAATCGCTTTATTTGGGTCCTCAGACAGAGACCCGAGCGGCAGGCCCCACGCCAGCCGGGCGGGGAGGGCAGCCTGGCCAGCTCCCCCCGGACACGGGGGCACCCTCCCCTCTGGCGGCCACAGCATTCACTGGAAACAAGGCAGACATGGGGACCCAGGCTTACCGCAAGGCATCTGCCCCCCAGCCCGGCCCCCAGCCCCAGCCCCCAGCCCCAGCCTTAACCCCAACCCCAGCCCCCAGCCCCCAGCCCCCAGCCCCAGCCCCAGCCCCCAGCCCCAGCCCCAGCCCCAGCCCCCAGCCCCCAGCCCCCAGCCCCAGCCCCAGCCCCCAGCCCCCCACCCCCAGCCACCAGCCCCAGCCCCCAGCCCCCCACCCCCAGCCCCCCACCCCCAGCCACCAGCCCGCAGCCCCAGCCCCAGCCCCCAGCCCCCAGCCCCCAGCCCCAGCCCCAGCCCCCAGCCCCCCACCCCCAGCCACCAGCCCCAGCCCCAGCCCCAGCCCCCAGCCCCCAGCCCCAGCCTTAACCCCAACCCCAGCCCCCAGCCCCCAGCCCCACCCCCAGCTCCAGCCCCAGCCCCAGCCCCCAGCCCTCAGCCCCCCGCCCCAGCCCCAGCCCTACCCCCAGCCTCTGACCCCTGCCCCCAGCCTCTGACCCCTGACCCCCGCTGCCCACAGGATGGGAGGCCCAGGCCCCAGCTCCGGCAGCACCGGGCGATGCTGGACGGCAGCTCACCTGGAAGGCCTTGTGCGCGCAGGTGACTAGAGGGGAACAGGTGGCGGTGAAGGGCCCGGCCTCCTGCAGCCCCCAGCCCCCGCTCCCCAGGCCCTGCCCCTGGTCTCCCCTGAGACCCGCCCCCCCGGTTCTGCCTGGCTCCCCGAGGCCCCGGACGCAGCCGGACACTCACGGTCGGGGTGCAGCCGGGCCTGCTGCTGCGAGAGGAAGCCCAGGCCCCGGCTCCAGCGGGCGAAGAGGCGCAGGGCCTCCGGGCTGGCCGGGTGCGAGCGGCCTGCGGGGAGGGCGCCTGAGAGCCGGCCGGGCTGCGGGGGCCTGGCCCTCCCGACCTCGGACCCCGCCCGGGCCACGCACTGTACAGCTCCACCGTGGAGAAGGCCTCGTCCCGCTGCTCCAGCTGCGTGAGCACCACGGCGAAGTCCCGGAAGTTGGTGCCCAGCACACGGTACTCCAGCACGCCCAGCGCTGGCACCGGGCGGGGGGCGTCAGGCTCTGAGAGGCCTCCCAGGGCCCCAGCCCGGCCGTCCCCCCCGCCCACCCCGGCCGTCCCCCCCACCCGCCCCGGCCGTGCCCAGAGCTGCCAGGGCGGATGGGAGTGACTGGGGTGCGAAGGGCCCCCTCCCCATCTCCTGTCCCCCCGGGGCCACGTGCCACGTCCCTGCACCCCACGGAGGGGCTGGGGTCCCGCTGAGAGTGGCAGGGACAGGTCAGCCCTCTGCCAAAGCGAGGGGCCCCTCGCTTCCAGGCGGAGAGCTCGCTGGGCCCCCCCCCCCCCCCCCCGCATGGCCGTGCCGGCTCCGGCTCCGGGGATGCTAGGAGGGCCGAGGCCCGAGAAACGGATCCGTGCCCCACTCTCCCCCCCCGCCCCCCCCGCCCGGACCAGACCACGAGGCTCCTCCTCACAGGGATTCTCGAACACCCAGGCAGAGTTCTGTTTCAGCAGCTCCATGGCACTCAGCTCACACCGCTCCAGCCTGGGAGGAGAAGGCCACGGCCACTCAGGCCCACGGCCACTCAGGCCCACGCCACTCAGGCCCACGTCCACTCAGGCCCACGGCCACTCGGGCCCACGGCCACTCGGGCCCACGGCCACTCAGGCCCACGGCCACTCAGGCCCACGGCCACTCAGGCCCACGCCACTCAGGGCCACGTCCACTCAGGCCCACGCCACTCAGGGCCACGTCCACTCAGGGCCACGTCCACTCAGGCCCACGGCCACTCAGGCCCACGGCCACTCGGACCCACATCCTCTGGGGCCCACGCCACTCAGGCCCACGCCACTCAGGCCCACATCCACTCAGGCCCACGGCCACTCAGGCCCACGGCCACTCAGGCCCACCATTTGCACAGGGTCCAGACACAGGGCCACAGAAGACAGTTCAGCCCTGCCATGGGGCTCAGCAGGTGAGTGTTGACCTATGAACCAGGACGTCAGGGTTCGATTCCCAGTCAGGGCAACAGGCCGGGCTCAGTCCCCGTGTGGGGCGTGCAGGAGGAGGGTGATCCATGGTTCTCTCTCATCCTTGATGTTTCTCTCTCTCTCCATCTCCCTTCCTCTCTGAAATCAATAAAAACATGTATTTTTTAAATACCACACTCTGGCCAAGACCGGTTTGGCTCAGTGGATAGAGCGTCAGCCTGCGGACTGAAAGGTCCCGGGTTCGATTCCGGTCAAAGGGCATGTACTTTGGTTGCGGGCACATCCCCAGTAGGGGGTGTGTAGGAGGCAGCTGATCGATGACTCTCTCTCATCGATGTTTCTAACTATCCCTCTCCCTTCCTCTCTGTACAAAATCAATAAAATATATATTTTTTAAATAAATAAATAAATACGGCACTCTGTGGGCTGACCTGGCACGGTCTGTATCACGTGTGGTTCACGGATCGCGTGTCCCGTGTGCCTGAGGGTCCCGGGGAGCCACCGGACTCTAAAGCAGGGCCCGCAGGGTGGGGGGCCGCCTGGCCTGGGCCCCCGGGGGCCATGTCCTGCCCAGAGCCCCCCAGGCCCGGAGTCCAGGGCCCAGACTCAGAGGCCCAGGTGCTCAGAGCAGAGCTGACCAGGAGGGCGGGAGCACGGGCTGGACACGCGTGTGCGGGCGCCCCCGCCCCTGCGCCCGGCAGCTGGGCTCAGCGGGAACTCCGCCATCGCCTGCCCGCCGGCCCCTCCCGGCCCCTCCCGGCCCGGCGTGGGGGCCGCGCTCACCGGTGGCGGGAGGCCAGCACCCTCAGGTGGTTCTGGGGCGTGAGCGTCACCGTGACGCCCTCGATGTTCTTCGTGGCCTTCTCCACCGCGAAGCCCTTCTCCCCGGACGCCACGGCCACCACGTACCAGGACCCCAGGAGCTGACGGAGGCGGCGCAGGGGTGAGGGCGCCCCGGCACTGGCCAGCCCCCGCCCCCGCCCCCGCCCCGTGCCCTGGGGGAGGCCCGGCCGGTACCTGCCCCGGGTCCAGCTTCCCCAGCCACACGGCCGGGGCCCCAGGCGCGGCGGCCAGAGCCAGCAGGGTCAGCAGCACAGCCCTCATGCTCCCGGTCCCACTCGGCCCCGGGACGCCGTTATATGGCCCAGCCGCTGTGGGCGGCCAGAACCACAGCCTGGCACGGCGGCCACATCGCCGAGACGTGGGCTCCGGCCCCGTGGGCTCCGTGCCCGGCCCAGACAGGGACAGCGGGGCGTGTGCCCGGCCAGCCCCTCGTCTCAGCGCTCCCTTCCGCCCGGAAGGTTCCAGAACGAGCACCTTCATCCCAGGCCGCACCCCTCCCCACGCCCGCCCGAGGCCCCCACCCTCCCTGCCCCTTCTGGAAAGAACAGACACTGCTCTCTTTTTTTCTTCTTTTTAATTGATTTCAGAGCGGAAGAGAGTGGGAGAGACATAGAAACATCAAGATAAGAGAGAACCCTGGACCGGCTGGCTGCCTCCTGCACACCCCTCGCTGGGAATCGAGCCTGCAGCCTGGGCCCGTGCCCTGACGGGGAATCGAACCCTTTATCTCCCGGTTCCTAGGGCGACACTCACCCCCTGAGCCACGCCGGCCGTGCAGACAGACAAACCCTGTCCTGAAGCCCAGGCAGCAGCAGGCCAGGGTCACGGCAGGGACGGGCGAGAACAGCCGGCTCTCCCAGAGGGAGTGGCTCTGGGGGCTTCTCATTTCAATCATTAAAAATGCGTTTCGGCCGAGGGCGGGAGGATGTGGAGGCGCACGCTGGTCCCCGAGGGCGGTTCCCGCTCGGCCCTGGGGTCGCGGGCCTGGGCCCCAGGGTGACGCTGCCCATCGCCGTCACCGGCTGGCGGAGGCCCGCGATGGCGATGGCGATGGCGATGGCGATGGCGATGGCGATGGCGATGGCGGGAGGCCCCTGCTCGCGCCCGGGACCTCGGCGGCTCCCGCCGAGGAACGGGGACCTGGGCCCGGCGGCCGCGGGCTGGGCGGACGAGGGCCGCAGTGTGAGGGTGTTCTGGGAAACCCGGAGCCCCAGCCCCCACGGCGGGGAAGGCAGCCGACGACGGCTGCCTCGGCTCCTCACGGTGAGGACGCCTGGCGATGGGGACTCCGGGAGGAGCGGGGTGGGGGTGCAGGCGAGTTTCCGGAACGCGGCGTGTGCTGCGAGGACCTGATTTGCCCTCTGCCCGGTCTGGGGGCTGCCAGGTCACTGCTGGTGTGGGGCCTGCCCCGGCTGCTGGGTTGAATCGCTGGCCACCTCGTGTGTGAATGCTGCCTGCACAAGCCCATTCTGTATGGATGTGGATAAATGGAGTCCGACTCCAAAAAAAAAAAAAAAATGCACAGCGTCCCCCAAATCTTAACAGAAGCGCCCACTCCCTCCTGGACTCCACCCCTGCCCGGCGGGCCTCGGCCTCCGGCCCCAGTCCTGCTCTCCCGGCCCCGCACCCCCGGCCTGGGGCACCCCCGGTCTGGCCTGCCTGCCCGCGCGGCCTCCGTGCTGCAGCCTCCCACCCGGCGATCCGTGACCTTGGCCGTGCCCCGGGGTCCCCTGGGACAGAGCCCAGAGGCCTCAGCAGCATCCGTCGGAGCCCAGCACCGGAGGAGGTGGGCGGCCCCCTCGGTGGTGGGCGGTGCGGCCTGGACACCAGCCCCGGGGCTGGCTGCCCTCGGGTGCTGTTGCCACGGGAACAGACAGATCAGGGAGGAAAGACGAGTCCTCGGTCCTGGGAGGCCTTCTGGAGGGGGGGCACCCCAGCCTCCGAGGGAGCCGGACGGAGGAGGTGAACCAAAGTCACCGCCCGCCCACAAGCTCGGCTCCGCTCCCCACCCTCCGGCCGAAGGCTCTGGCCTTGACCTTGGGCCAGGACGCCCTGCCTGCCAGCTGGCAGGTGCCTGAGGGAAGAGAGTGAAACAGGAAGACAAACCTCACCCGTCCCGGCCCCACGCCCGAGGGGCCCCAGGTTCCGGTTCCTCCGGAGGCTGGCGTGGCTCGGGGCTCGGGGCTGAGCGTTGACGAAGGAACCAGGAGGTTGCGGTTTGATTCCCGGTCAGGGCACAGGCCCGGGCTGTGGGCTCGGTCCCCGGTGCGAGGTGTACAGGAGGCAATGATCTCTCATCAATGATATTTCTCTGCCTCTCTCTGCCTCTCTGAAATCAATAAAAACATACTTAAAAAACAAAAAACAGGCATTACCCTCGCCTCCAGGTTAATCCTGTCCACTTCGCTGTCAAGTCCGTGCCCTGACGGAGGCTGCAGAGGAGGACGGCCGGTTCACAGCACAGCATGCGAGGGGGGGGGGTGTCCTCCTCGGGGTCCTCAGGGTGGGGGTGGCCTTTCACAGGGCACTGACCCAGCCTGGGGACCCCTCAGGACCTAGTTACTCCAGCACCCGCACCCCGGGGTCAGGGTTCCTGGTGCACTCCGGGGACACGCACTGTATCGCAGCCCAGAGAGCATGTTTATTTCCATTTCACATTCTCCGTTTACAGTGGGACCATAAAGGCGGGGCAGGTAGAGCCCCCGGGGGACTGGCAGGGTCCCCGCAGGGCCTGAGGGCGGGCCCCGAGGCATCGGCCACGGCGGAGGCCACGGCCACGGCCACGGCCAGGGGTCTCGGCAGAAACGCCGACCTCGGACGCGCAGCCCCGGGACCGAGAAGACGCGTCCGGCAGTCGGCCGCTCGGCGGACCAGCCTGCTCTGGGCGAGGCCGGCGCCTGGCCTGAAGAGCTCAGGCCACGTGGACTGAGCGCCCGGTCGGTCAGACCCCGGCCTCCGGACGTCCCTCCTTTGGGCTTAGGGACTGAGGTCACGGGCCCTTAAGGCGAGTCCTGGGCAGACCCTCCCCTGAGGGAGCCGGGCGGCGTCCCAACGGCTCAAACTAGGCAGCGATGGAGCCCTCTTTGGGGCAGTCGCGGTGGCACCCCCCACCCCCGCCTCCCCTCCCCTGTCAGCGCCCCCTCCGCCCCCCCCACCCCCCCCCCCCGTCGCTCCGAGCCCCAGGAAAGACTCAGGGCAGCCGGTGTGTCAGGGGTTTATTGGGGCGAGAGCAGGGGCGGGAGGGGCAGAAGGGGCGACAGGGGCAGGGGCGGGAGGGGCGGGAGGGGCAGGAGGGGCAGGAGGGGCAGGGGCGGGAGGGGAAGGGAGGGGCGGGAGGGGTGGGAGGGGCAGGAGGGGAGGGGCGGGAGGGGAAGGGAGGGGCGGGGGCGGGAGGGGCGGGAGGGGCAGGAGGGGTGACAGGTGCAGGGGCGGGAGGGGCGGAGGGGCGGGGGCGGGAGGGGCAGGAGGGGAGGGGCGGGAGGGGCAGGAGGGGTGACAGGTGCAGGGGCGGGAGGGGCGGGAGGGGCGGGGGCGGGAGGGGCAGGGGCAGGAGGGGCAGGAGGGATGGGAAGGGAGGAGCAGGAGGGGCGGGAGGGGCGGGAGGGGCGGGGGGGCGGGAGGGGCAGGAGGGGAGGGGCGGGAGGGGCGGGAGGGGAGGAGCAGGAGGGGCGGGAGGGGCGGGAGGGGCAGGAGGGGAGGGGCGGGAGGGGCAGGAGGGGAGGGGCAGGAGGGATGGGAAGGGAGGAGCAGGAGGGGTGGGAGGGGCAGGAGGGGCGGGAGGGGCGGAGGAGGGGCGGGAGGGGCGGGAGGGGCAGGAGGGGCAGGAGGGATGGGAAGGGAGGAGCAGGAGGGGCGGGAGGGGCGGGAGGGGCAGGAGGGGAGGGGCGGGAGGGGCTCCCAGCGTCCGGCCTGGCACCGGGCTCCTAGATCAGCTCCTGTGACACAGAAGGGGCTCAGGCGGCGGCTCCCGGCCCCGGGCAGCCGGCCGGACGTGGGGGCTGGGGTCCCGGCCGCCGGGGTCAGGCGGAGCGGCCGCCCCTCGGCCGTGTGGAGGCCGGGGCCCACGGGGGCGGGGGCGAGGGTGGGACATGGGCCCCAGGCCGGAGGTCAGCGTCCACAGCCCCGGCCGCCTGCTACGTGGAGAGGGGCCCCCCCAGCCAGCCTGCCCCGCCGCCCCCGGGCCCCCTGCCCCCTGTCACCCGGAGGCCGGGGCTGGGGGCGTCCTGCCGGCGGCCGGGGCGGAGCGGCCAGCACTCACCTCCTTCAGGAGCTCGGCACAGCGCCCTGCGGACGGGCGAGTGAGGGGGACGGCTCGGACCCCCCCCCCCCCCGCTCTGCCACCGAGAGCACCGCCCCCCAGACCCAGCCCCCCCTCCCCGGGCCCTGGGCGGACAGATGGACAGGGGGGGGCGGACAGATGGACGGGGGGGCGGACAGATGGACGGGGGGGGGCGAACAGATGGACGGGGGGGCGGACAGATGGACGGGGGGGGCGGACAGAGGGCGGGGGGGGGGGCAGCCCCAGGGGGAGGGCGGAGCTCACCAGCCGCACCGGGTTGGCACAGGTCACTGTGGACAGAGGGCAGTGAGGCGGGCGGAGTGGGGGGGGGCAGGGGGGGCAGGAGGGCAGTGAGGCGGGCGGAGTGGGGGGGGTGGCAGGGGGGCAGGAGGGCAGTGAGGCGGGCGGAGGGGGAGGGCAGGAGGGGAGTGAGGCGGGCGGAGGGGGGGGCAGGAGGGCAGTGAGGCGGGCGGAGTGGGGGGGTGGCAGGGGGGCAGGAGGGGAGTGAGGCGGGCGGAGGGGGGTGGCAGGGGGGGCAGGAGGCAGTGAGGCGGCGGAGGGGGGGGTGGCAGGGGGCAGTGAGGCAGGCGGAGTGGGGGGGATGGCGGGGGGGGCAGGAGGGCAGTGAGGCGGGCGGAGGGGGGGGCCAGGAGGGGGAGGGGGGGGCGGCACTCACGGTCCCAGGTGTGCAGGCGCACGTCCTTCTCGGAGAAGCCGTAGTCCCTGGCCACCTGGTGGAACTTCTCCAAGGCGTCCTGGTAGTGTTCCAGGGCCCGGCCTGCAGAGGACGGGCTCCCACGTGGGCCGGGGCCCTCCCGCCCGCTCGCCTCCCCTCCGCCCCCCGCAGGGCCCGCAGCCTCCGCCCGCCCGCCCGCCGCCCGTGCTCACTGCAGAGCTTGAGGAGCCCGGCGCCGGCCGCCCCCGGGTGGGCCTGCAGGTGCAGGATGGCGTAGGCCCCGTAGTCTGTGCTCACCACCGCGATCTCCTGGTCTCCTGCACACAAGCCAGGCGCACGGCTCCCAGGCTGGGCAGGCCCCACCCACACTGTCACCCCCGCCCAGGCCGTGCCCCCACAGCTCGCCCGCTCTCTCGTGCAGGCACACGCGCGTGTACACGTGTGCGCATACGTGTGCACGTGCGTGTGAATGCACACACCCCCCGGAGCAGGGGAGTGGGCCTCGGGGTCTCCTGAAGGGACCGCCCGAGGAGCGTGGAATGGGGGCCCTGCCTCCGGGAGGGAAAGACCGAGTCAGACGTCTTCTGGGCCTTTCCGAGGGCAGACCCCGGGCGGAGGCCACGGCGGCACCGAGCGGCACAGAGGGCTCAGCCCAGGACCAGGCGCCCGCCCCTGCGCCTGAGGGTGGGACGAGGGTCCGCACGGGATCGGCGGGGGGAGAGGGGCCGGGCAGGCCTCACCGAACTCCTTGGGCAGCTTGAACTTCCCCGGGACGTCCCCCTTCATGGCCACCCGCTTTTCCGTCACACAGCCGGTCTCACTGGGGAGCACAGAGCCTGCGGCCGCCGCCCCCGGCCCCCTCCGGCTCCCCCGATCCTGCCTCCCCGGCCCTCACGGCGTCCAGCGCGGCCCACACGGCTCGGGCCCGCGGCCGGGGAGCAGGGAAGGGCCGCTGACCAACAGCGGCCGCGCCAGGCTTGGCGCGGGGGCTTTGACCCTGGGAGGGGGGTCCCAGGGGAAGGACTGAGTTCAGAGGTCACCCATGCACCTGTGCCCCCGGCCCCGGCGCCCCCGCCCCGCACGGCACTCACTCCTTGTAGGCGGTGGTCAGGGCCAGGTGGCCGCCCTCCCACTCCACCTGCACCCCCACCACCTGCCTGGCGGGCGGGGCGCGGACCTTGGAGGCGTAGGCGATCTCGTACCAGAAGCCTGAGAACTGGGGGGGGGGGGAGGGGGCCTCAGCACAGGCGCCAGGGCCGGGCACCCCCCTGCCCGCGGGCCGCCATCAGGCACGTCCGGGGGCTCCATCCTGGAGGACTGCCCCCGGCCGGTGCCCAGCTCCCTACCTTATTGAAGTCGAAGTCCTTCGCCACCAAGCTCTGCCTGCCGGCCGCCGGCAGCACGCACAGCCCCAGCAGGGCCAGGAGCAGGGGGCCCGTCCTGGCCGGCCGCAGGCGGCAGGCGGCAGGCGGAGCGGCGGCTCCCATTCCCGAGCCCCAGAGCCGCGGCTGGGTGCCGGCCAGTTTGTATCCTCCGCCGGGGGCACCGCCAGACGCCCCCGCAGGCCGGGAGCCGCCCACAGGGCAGGAGCGGCTGCCGTCCGCCGAGCCTCCCGCCCCCGCGACCGGCCTCAGACGGGGCGTCCAGGCCGGAGGGCGGTGCTGGGCTCTGGGGTGAGACAGGACGGAACGGGCATGGCCTGCAGTCACGTCGCTCTGACAGGCTCTCCTCTGCAATGTGTGCGAGGTCGCTGCCCCGGACCCCCAGCTGCCCCGGACCCCCAGCTGCCCCGGGTTTCCAGCTGCCCCGGGCCCCCAGCTTCCCCGGACCCCCAGCTGCCCCGGGCCCCCAGCTGCCCCGGACCCCCAGCTGCCCCCGACCCCCAGCTGCCCCGGGCCCCCAGCTGCCCCGGACCCCCAGCTTGCCCAGGACCCCCAGCTGCCCCCGGACCCCCAGCTGCCCCCGGACCCCCAGCGGCCCCGGACCCCCAGCTGCCCCCAGACCCCCAGCTGCCCCGGACCCCCAGCTGCCCCCGGGCCCCCAGCTGCTCCAGGACCCCCAGCTGCCCCCGGGCCCCCAGCTGCCCCGACCCCCAGCTGTCCCGGACCCCCAGCTGCCCCCGGACCCCCAGCGGCCCCCGGACCCCCAGCTGCCCAGGGCCCCCAGCTGCCCCGGACCCCCAGCTGCCCAGGGCCCCCAGCTGCCCCCGGACCCCCAGCTGCCCCCGGACCCTCAGCTGCCCCTGGGCCCTCAGCTGCTCCAAGACCCTCAGCTGCCCCAGGGCCCCCAGCTACCCCCGGACCCCCAGCTGCCCCAGGACCTTCAGCTGCCCCAGGACCCTCAGCTGCCCCAGGGCCCCCAGCTGCCCCCGGACCCCCAGCTGCCCCAGGACCCTCAGCTGCCCCTGGGCCCTCAGCTGCTCCAAGACCCTCAGCTGCCCCAGGGCCCCCAGCTGCCCCCGGGCCCCCAGCTGCCCCAGGACCCCCAGCTGCTCCGAGCAGGGAGCCCCCAGCTTTCTTCGGGGTGCCCATCTGAGCAGCTGGCAGGGTCCATTTCCGGCTGCATGACGGAAAAGCGGGGGCCATGAAGGGGGACGTCCGGGGAAGTTCAAGCTGCCCAAGGAGTTGGGGGGCTGAGGGGACCTGCCCAGGATCAGGGCACACGCGCCCCAGGCCTGCCACCTGGGCAGCATGGCTCCGGTCAGTGGGGCACGACGAAGGACACGCCCCCGTGGTGCTGACCGCACAGCGCGGGCGCTGCGGGCGGGAGGTGGGCCGATGTGCTGGCCCTCCGCCCTGCTGGCCGGCCCACGAGAGCCTTGGAAGACCCCACAGCCAACACCGAGCGGCGAACTGGCAGCTCCTGCCCACCAGCCGGAGCCCATGGCACTGCCTCCGCTCTTTTCTTTTTTCTTTTTTTTGATACATATTTTATGATTTTTTTACAGAGAGGAAGGGAGAGGGGTAGAGTTAGAAACATCGATGAGAGAGAGACATCCATCAGCTGCCTCCTGCACACCGCCCACTGGGATCTGCCTGCAACCAAGGCACATCATGCCCTTGACTGGAATCGAACCCGGAACCTTTCAGTCCACAGGCCGACGCTCTATCCACTGAGCCACACCGGCTTCGGCGAGCAGGTGGTGAGCCGTGCAGAGAGCGTGACGCCGGCCCGAGGTCACCCAGGGGGGCGGCCGTGCGGTCCCAGCCCTCGACCCCCACCCCCACCCCAGGTGCTATCCTGGCCCCACCCAGCAGAAGGAGATGGGGGGAGGGAGATTCCAGCCCACACAGACAGGCCGAATCGTGAGGGGACAGACAGACGTGGGGGGGGGGGGGGGCTGAATAAAAATGCAAAAGTGGCCTGACTGGCGTGGCTCAGTGGTTGAGCGTAGACCTAGGAACCAGGTCAGGGTTCGATTCCCGGTCAGGGCACAGGCCCGGGTTTCGGGCTCCATCCCCAGGAGGCAGCCGGTCCCTGACTCTCATCACTGATGTCTTATTCTTCCGCGCCCTGCCTTCTGAAATCTATAAAAAATGTAAATTTTAAAACGTGTAGGGGGCTCGTGGGTCTCCGCTCTGAGGGGAGCTGGGAGGGTGGGTGTCAGGGTGCATGGCCTGTCGGACCCGGAGGCCGCCGGGCGGAGGCCAGGGCCCTCGGACCCGGGTGTGGCTGCCCCGGGCGGGATGGAGGCCGCCCGACACCCACTGTGCGTTTGCCCTGCGCCCCCGCCCCAGGCGGCCGGAATGTCTTAGTGATTTGATCCTGAAACTCGTGCTTTTACATGGAGTCTGACGGGACCATGGAGTCCACCCCCCTTCCCCCCCTCCTCCACCGTCCCCCTCCCCCCTCCCTCCACACACACACACACACACACACACACACCCATCGCCCCACGACCCAGGAAAGACTCAGGGCAGCCGGTGTGGTCAGGGGTTTATTGGGGCCAGTGCTGCTGGCCGGGGCCGGGGCCAGAGCAGGGGCAGGAGGGCAAGAGGGGCGGGAGGGGCAGGCAGGAGGGGCGGGAGGGGCTCCCAGCGTCCGGCCTGGCACCGGGCTCCTAGATCAGCTCCTGTGACACAGAAGGGGCTCAGGCGGCGGCTCCCGGCCCCGGGCAGCCGGCCGGACGTGGGGGCTGGGGTCCCGGCCGCCGGGGTCAGGCGGGGCGGCCGCCCCTCGGCCGTGTGGAGGCCGGGGCCCACGGGGGCGGGGGCGAGGGTGGGACATGGCCCCAGGCCGGAGGTCAGCGTCCACAGCCCCGGCCGCCTGCTACGTGGAGAGGGGCCCCCCCAGCCAGCCTGCCCCGCCGCCCCCGGGCCCCCTGCTCCCTGTCACCCGGAGGCCGGGGCTGGGAGCGTCCTGCCGGCGGCCGGGGCGGAGCGGCCAGCACTCACCTCCTTCAGGAGCTCGGCACAGCGCCCTGCGGACGGGCGAGTGAGGGGGACGGCTCGGACCCCCCCCCCCGGGCGCCCAGCCCCCCGCCCCTGGCCGGGCTCACCGTGCCCCCCCCCCCCCCCCCGGGCACCCAGCCCCCGCCCCCGCCGGGCTCACCGTGCCCCCCCCCCCCGCGGCACCCAGCCCCGCCCCCGGCCGGGCTCACCGTGCCCCCCCCCCCCGCGGCACCCAGCCCCCGCCCCGGCCGGGCTCACCGTGCCCCCCCCCCCCGCGGCACCCAGCCCCCGCCCCCGGCCGGGCTCACCGTGCCCACCCCCCCCCCACCCCCCCGCAACACCCAGCCCCCGCCCCCGGCCGGGCTCACCGTGCCCACGCGCCCCCCCCCACCCCACCCCGGCGCCCAGCCCCCACCCCCGCCCGGGCTCACCGTGCCCCCCCCCCCCGGCGCCCCGCTCCCGCCCCCGGCCGGGCTCACCGTGCCGGGCCACCAGGTACAGCCCAGTGTCGGCCGTCAGCTCCCGGAACCGCCAGAAGCCGGGCTCATCCTGGTCCTCCAGGCTGCGGGCTGGGGCAGCGGGTGGGGGGAGTGGAGGGAAGTGGGGAGCTGAGGGGCGTTGAGGGGGGAAGTGGGAGGCTGAGGGGGAAAGTGGGGGGCTGAGGGGGGCAGTGGGGGGCTGAGGGGGGCAGCGGGGGGCTGAGGGGGGCAGCGGGGGGCAGTGGGGGGGCTGAGGGGAGAAGTGGGGGCAGCGGGGGGCTGGGGGGGCAGTGCGGGGCTGAGGGGGGAAGAGGGGGGCTGAGGGGGGCTGAGGGGGGCAGTGGGGAGCTGAGGGGGGCAGCGGGGGCAGCGGGGGGCTGGGGGCAGCGGGGGCAGCGGGGGGCTGGGGGGCAGCAGGGGCAGCGGGGGGCTGGGGGCTGGGGGCTGGGGGCTGGGGGCTGAGCGGGTCGGGGGCACAGGCCGCAGCCCGGCCCGGCGCTCACTGAAGTACTTGAGCACGTGGAAGGCCCGGCCCTGCCAGAGCAGCGACAGCCGCAGGATGGCATAGCGCTCGTAGTCTGTGTCCATCACCTGGATCTCCCTGCGGCCTGGGAGCGGGAGGGGCGAGGCTGGGAGCAGCGCCCGGTCAGACTCCCCCCACCCCACCAGCCCCGCAACACGGCGGGCGGGGCGGGCAGGAGCAGCCCTGACGGACGACAGGCTTGTGGGTGAGACGGTGGGAGAGTCTGGAGCGTGGAGAGGAGCGGGGAACAGATTGGGAACAGCAGGGAACAGAGTGGGAACAGCAGGGAAACAGAGTGGGAACAGCAGGGAACAGAGTGGGAACAGCAGGGGAACAGAGTGGGAACAGCAGGGAACAGAGTGGGAACAGAGTGGGAACAGAGTGGGAACAGCAGGGAACAGAGTGGGAACAGCAGGGAACAGAGTGGGAACAGCAGGGAACAGAGTGGGAACAGAGTGGGAACAGCAGGGGAACAGAATGGGAACAGAGTGGGAACAGCAGGGGAACAGCAGGGAACAGAGTGGGAACAGAGCGGGAACAGCAGGGAACAGAGTGGGAACAGAGTGGGAACAGCAGGGGAACAGCAGGGAAACAGAGTGGGAACAGCAGGGAACAGAGTGGGAACAGAGTGGGAACAGCAGGGGAACAGCGCAGGGAACAGAGTGGGAACAGAGCGGGAACAGCAGGGGAACAGCAGGGGAACAGCAGGGAACAGAGTGGGAACAGCAGGGAACAGAGTGGGAACAGAGTGGGAACAGCAGGGAACAGAGTGGGAACAGCAGGGGAACAGCAAGGCCACGGTGGGGTGTGCAGGGCCTCAGGGTTGTACTTGCAGCAACGGGACAGCTCTTACCGGGAAAAACAAATCTCCCCGAGACGTCGACCTCTGCGCCCACGATGTTTTCTGTCTCACAGCCTCCTGAGCTGAAAGCAGCAGAGTGCTCCTTAGGCTGCGTCCCCCTCTGGCACACTTCGGGGGGTGGGGGGAGTCCTCAGGAAAGACAGGGCGAGTCCCCCAGCACCCTCGCCCCGGGCTCTGTGACCAGGGAGCCACCTTCAGCTCCGAGGCCAGCGCGAGGGGTGCAGCTCAGAGCCGGGTCGGACTCAGCGGGGGAGGCAAGTCAAGGTCTCGGCGGCTGGCCGACCAGTGAGGACACTGTCCAAGCCCCAGAGCGGCCTGGCGCCCACCTGCCCCCCCCGGCTCCCCGGAGCGCGGGGAGCGGCCCACCCGTTGTACGCGGCCTTCACGGTCAGCTCGGCCCCGCGCAGCGTCAGGAACAGGGCCTCCGGCCGCTTCGGGGTCTTCAGCGCCAGGTTTTGGTGGGAAGCCACGCCCACTTCCCGCCAGAATCCCGCAATCTAGAGGGAGGGACAGAGCCGGGGCCGTGGGGGCAGCCGGGACAGACGGAGAGGCAGGGGTGGGTCCCAGGCCCCGGGGAGGGAGCTGCCAGTTCTGGAAGGTCAGGGGTCAGCGAGAGGCTCGAGGCAAAGGAGCAGGTGGCCTCCCTCCGGAGGGGTCCCTCCTGGCATCGGCCGGCCGCGCCCATGAAGCCCGCCCCCAGGCCTGTGTGCTGTCCCCGCGGGAGGGACGAGGGAGGGCAGGGGGAGAGAGAGGAGAGAGAGAGGGAGGGAGAGAGAGTGAAACCGCCCAGGAGCTCAGCTCGCGGCCTAAGGAAGAGGCACAGCTCTGTCCTCCAGGGAAACTCTTGACCGTTTTTGCAACAGAAAAGAAGCCGTGTCCCCAGCGTCAGGTGGGGTGACCTGGGTGGGTGCTGGGCCCCAGTCGGGGCCTCCGCTCCAGCCTCAGCTGGGGCTGGGGGGACACAGGCCCCTCCCCACGCCCTCCCCAGGACGAGGCCGGGAAGCCACCTTCTGCAGGTCCAGGTCCTGCACGGCCACCTGCACCTGCACCAGGACCAGGCCCAGGACGGCGCCCAGCAGCCGGGGCCCCATCGCTGCCGCACTCTCCCCACCGCCGCCCGGCTCCCGGTTTATATCCCGGCGGCTGTGACGCAATCGCCGGCCACAGCCCACCGGGAGCCTGCCTCTTCCGCAGCAGGCCCGTCGGGCCCTGTGACGGACGCCCACAGCCCGGGGTGGCCGGCCGGGACGGCCTGAGAGCAGGGGATCCCCCCCCACAGGGGCCGGAGCACCCCAGGCTCCCGGCTCCTCCCCACAGACACCGGGACCGGGCGTCTCCAGCAGGTGCCCTCAGGGCCCACCGCCAGGCTCTGCCTTTAATGTATTTTTATTGCTTTCAGAGAAGAAGGGGGAGAGAGGGAGAGAGAAACATCAACGAGGAGAGAGGATCACGGACCGGCTGCCTCCTGCCCGCTCCACACTGGGGATGGCGCCCGCAACCCCGGCCTGTGGCCCGACCGGGGATGAACCCTGACCTCCTGGCTCACAGGTGGAGGCTCAGCCTCAGACAAACGCTCGAGGGCTCGCTCAGTGCCCAGAGCCGAGCGGCCTGCCCTCCGGGAGCCCTCAGGGAGCCTCCGGAGAGCTGTCCCTGCAGAGGGAGCGTCCCTGAGGCCTGGGGGGGCCAGCCTGGGGGACCTCTGCAGGGACCCACCACCACCCCCACCACCACGACTGCGTGTCTACTTGTGTCCTTCCTGTGCTGTGTCCTCCCGCCGTGCCCAGGCCTCCTGCCCCCCTCCCCCCGGCCCCCCAAAGCATGCATTCCCGGCTGGGACCAGAGGATAGCAGGTCAGGGTGAAGACACAGGCTGTCAGGCTGGGGGGCTCAGAGCCGGCCGGCACACCGGGGCCCAGGGGGTGACCCACGGGCAGTGCCACAGGGGGAGGAGGCGGAGGACTGGCCGGCCCCGGGGGATGAGCCAGGGCCCCCGGCATGGGCTTGACGGGGCAGCAGAGGGGAGACAGGGAGTGTGGGGGCCCCTGCGGCCTCTGGGGGGCCAGGGGCAGGAGGAGGTCAGTGCTCTCAGGCCTCCTCCTTCCGGCGCCGCCCTGCAGGGCACCATGAGCAGTGAGGCGGGACCTCCAGCGCCCTTTTGCCCGCCCACACGGGCCCTCTGAGGCGTGTGCACCGGACATCACCGAGACGCCCAGAGCTCCTGGCAGAGACCGCAGGCTCGGCGTCAGGGAGGGGAACGGCGAGGCCGGCCCCCACATTCCTCGAGGATCGGCATGGAGCCGGGCCCCGGAGCCGGAGCCCTGGGCCTGAGCCCCAGCCGGGCCCTGGCTGGTCCAGGCGCTGACCTGGGGGCCTCAGGTTCCATCTGTGAAGGAAGGGCCACAGTGGCTCACGGCCTGTGCCCAGCAGCCCACACGGGCCTGGCTGGCAGCCAAGGGCACCCAGTGCGCTGGCACCACCAGGACCCATGTCCGGGCCTCACCGAAGCACACACAGGGGCCACGATGGCGGGCCCAGAAGCTTATCCCGGCCCCGGGCCTCAGTCACAGAAGCTGGTCTTGTCTCAGGGGCATAGCTCCCCGTCTGTGACCCGGACCACCATTCCCTAACCCAGAGGTCCCAGTGAGGTGCCAGACCGCCCCCGGGCCCTGACCTCCCTGCCGGGCCCGAACTGCCCTCCCAGGACCCAACCTCCATCCCGGCTCACACCCACATCTGGGTCCCAGACCTTTTTCTTTCTTTTAATTGATTTTTCAAAGAGAGGAAGAGAGTGGGATAGAGAGTTAGAAACATCAAGGAGAAACATCCATCAGCTGCCTCCTGCACACCCACCACTGGGAATGTGCCCACAACCAAAGTTTGTGCCCCTGACCGGAATCAAACCTGGGACCCTGCAGTCCGCAGCCCAACACTCTATCCACTGAGCCAAACCGGTTTCGGCCGGGTCCCGGACCTTTATGTCGAGGACCAGAGGCCATTCCGGGGATCCACACAAGAATCCATTGCCTATTCCTTTATTGGAGTCCAAATAACCACACTAGTCGACATCACCATTTCATCACCCTGAAGTCCTGCCCTTGACCCAAACCTCACACCTGGGCCCATGGCGCCCCCTAGTGGCCACACTTCCCTCCACGCAGCCAGACCTACATCCGGGGCTCAGACTTACATCCGGATCCCAGACCATCATCCAGCTCCGGCCACGGAGCCCCAGCAGCAAGGCTGGTCTTCCCCGGGGCCTGGCTTTCTCGCAGCCGCTGGGAGTCCATGGGGTCAGCGTGGGGAGCCCAGCAGCCAGAGTCCCTTCACCCACCTCCCTGCCTCAGTTTCCCCAGAAGCCCAGGCCAAGGAGTGAGGAGCCTGGAGCCTGTAAAATAAGTTTATTGGGGGGGAAAGGGGCCCAGGAAGACGTCCCACGGGATGGGGGTGAGCAGGAGGGGGTGGGCAGGACCGGGGTCTGGAAGGCGGGGGGTGACGAGTGAGGCCCGCTGCTCCGCTTGCCCTGCACGGAGGGAAAGGCGTTGTCAGCCATCCGCCCTCCCCCTCGGCCAACGCCCCTCAGCCGCCCCAGCCGCCCCCCGCACACCGACCGCCCCCTTCAGCCATTCGCCCGTTCACCCATCCCCTGAAGGCCCTGCGAGCTGTTCCGCTGCCCAGAGTTCTGGGGATGCGGAAACACCCCTTCCCCCACTGTGCCCCAGGAGGCCCAGGACACACACCCCCACTGCGCCCCAGGAGGCCCAGGACACACACCCCCACTGCTCCCCAGGACACACACCCCCACTGCGCCCAGGAGGCCCCAGGACACACACCCCCACTGCGCCCCAGGAGGCCCAGGACACACACCCCCACTGCTCCCCAGGACACACACCCCCACCGCGCCCAGGAGGCCCCAGGACACACACCCCCACTGCGCCCAGGAGGCCCAGGACACACACCCCCACCACGCCCAGGAGGCCCCAGGACACACACCCCCACTGCGCCCAGGAGGCCCCAGGACACACACCCCCACTGCGCCCAGAAGGCCCCAGGACACACACCCCCACCGCGCCCCAGGAGGCCCCAGGACACACCCCCCCACTGCGCCCCAGGAGGCCCAGGACACACACCCCCACTGCGCCCAGGAGGCCCAGGACACACACCCCCACTGCGCCCAGGAGGCCCCAGGACACACACCCTCACCCCGCCCAGGAGGCCCCAGGACACACACCCCCACTGCGCCCAGGAGGCCCCAGGACACACACCCCCACTGCGCCCAGGAGGCCCAGGACACACACCCCCACTGCGCCCAGGAGGCCCCAGGACACACACCCCCACTGCGCCCCAGGAGGCCCAGGACACACACCCCCACTGCGCTCCAGGACACACACCCCCACTGCGCCCAGAAGGCCCCAGGACACACACCCCCACCGCGCCCAGGAGGCCCCAGGACACACACCCCCACCGCGCCCCAGGAGGCCCAGGACACACACCCCCACTGCTCCCCAGGACACACACCCCCACCGCGCCCCAGGACACACACCCCCACTGCTCCCCAGGACACACACCCCCACCGCGCCCAGGAGGCCCAGGGACCCAGCCCCAGGGCCGGTGGTGAGGCTGGTGTGGAAGTGACTCAGTGGCCAGTGAACCCCGCAGAGCCCACAGCCCGGCACCCGAGAGCTGGCCCTCGAGAGGCCCCTGACCCCCACGCTGCTTTTCCTTGTTAAGACCATGGAGCCCTGGCTGGTGTGGCTCAGTGGATGAGAGCGTTGGCCTGAGGACCGAGGGGTCCTGGGTTCGATTTCGGTCAAGGGCACAGGCCGGGCTGCAGGCTCAATCCCCAGTGGGGGCGTGCGGGAGGCAGCCAACTAGTGATTCTCGCTCATCATGGATGTTTCGATGTCTATCTCTCTCTACCTCTCCCTCTCTGAAATTAAAACTTATTTTTTTTAAAGACCATCTGGGGGGAGGGGCACAGAGCAGGAAGAGGGGGCTCACGCTCTCTGCAGGTGAACCTTCCGGAACAGCGGGGTTTGGCTCAATTCCCCCCCTCTCCTCCCCCGCCTCCCGGAATGCTTCTGAAGCAGCCACCCATGTGCCGGGCAGAAGGCGGCACCAGGATGCCGAGCGGCGTCAGCCAGACCCACGAAAAGCTGGAGCAGCCCGGCGTCCCTGGGACCCTGGGTTCGAGGCCAGGACGGCCAGGGGCCCAGGGCACAGGGTGCAGGACGAAGAGGGAGCTGCCCTGTGCCGCCCAGACTGCAGGAGAGGCCACGGCCGCCTCCCGACCTGCCGGCTGGCACACCCCATCTGGCACTTACTGCTTCATTGGGGTTCCCGGATTCTCCTCCAGGAGCCTGGGGGAGGGGCCTGGTGGGCCCCCATGTGTCCCCAGGAGCCCACCTGCCTGCGTGCACCGAGGGCTCCCTGTGAGGGCAGCGAAAGGGGTCCCCCAGGGAGAGAGGCCGAGGACCCAGGCCTTCCCAAGCAGCGGCCTGATGCCCACGGGGTGAGCTGGGGCACAAAGGGACACGGAGGGCACCGGGTTTGATAGGGTCCCCCCAACATTCAAGTCCGCCCGAACTTTGCATGTGGCCTCTTTGGGAAATGGGTTCTCTCAGGAGTAATGAGTTAAGGTCTCACTTTGAGATAGCCCCGGATTTAGGGTGGGCCCCACAGCCATGGCGGGTGTCCTTCTCAGAAGAAGGACGTTTGCCGAAACTGGTTTGGCTCAATGGATAGAGCATCGGCCTGGGGACTGAAGAGTCCCGGGTTCGATTCCGGTCAAGGGCATGTACATCTCCAGTAGGGGGTGTGCAAGAGGCAGCTGATCGATGACTCTCTCATCGATGTTTCTTTTTTTTTTTTTTTTTTTTTTTTAATATATTTTATTGATTTTGTACAGAGAAGAAGGGAGAGAGATAGAGAGTTAGAAACAGAGTCATCGATCAGCTGCCTCTTGCACACCCCCTACTGGAGATGTGCCCGCAACCAAGGTACATGCCCTTGACCGGAATCGAACCCGGGACCCTTCAGTCCCCAAGCCGACGCTCTATCCATTGAGCCAAACCGGTCTCGGCTCTCATCGATGTTTCTAACTCTATCTCTCACCCTTCCTCTCTGTGCAAAATCAATAAAATATTTTTTTTAAAAAAAAAAGAAGAAGAAGGACATGTGGACACAGGCACACGGAGGGAGCTGGCCATGGGCAGTGGAGCAGAGATGGGAGGTCAAGTCCACAGATCCAGGGAGGCCAGGCTGCCGGCTCCTGGTGGCAGGGGTCTCCCCTGGAGCCCCGGGCGAGCCAGCCCTGCCTGCCCACACCTCGGTGTAGGACCCGTGCTGCCCACTGGTGGCCGTTTGTTAGGGCAGACGTAGGAAGTCCGGGGGACTTCCTGGAGGGGATGAGCTGAGACTGAAGCACCAAACCCAGGCAGAACCATGCCAAGGGGGCGTGGTGGGAGAGCAGGAGGCCTGGGGAGGAGGGGCAGGCCTGCAGGACAGGAGCGAGGATTACCCGGCCTCGGCCTGGGAAGGGGCCAGGTGAGTCTGCAGGGGTGTCAGGGTGCCTCCGCGCCCCCCGGGGAACACGCATCTGCAGAAAGGAAGACAGACAGTGAGAGGCGGAGTGGGCGGACACGCCCACCACGTCCCCACCCCTGGGGACCATGCAGCCAAACCCAGAGGCTGGAGCCGAAAGACTGTCCCTTCTGGGCTCCCAGACCTCCCCTCCGGGTGCTGGGGAGGAAGGGGCTGTGGGCAGGAGATGCTGGAGGCGCTGCCAGCCTAGCCCCTGGCTGCTGGCTCAGGGATTCAGAGCGAGATCTGGCTTGGATGGGCGGGGCCTGGTGGGCGGGGCCTGACAAGATCTTGTGGGTGGGCGTGGCTTTGTGGATCTAGCCTGGGGGCGGGGCCTGGGGCGGGGATTGGAGTGGTGGGCGGGGCTTGGCGCTGCCTGGTGGGCGTGGTTTGGAGGGATCTGGTCAGGGAGGGGCAGGGCTCGGTGCTGCAGGGTTGGCCAGGGCGGGGCGGAGCTTGGTGGGGGGAGGCGGGAGTGGTGAGGTGGGAGGCAGGGGGGGAGGCGCGAGGTGGAGATGGGGCGCGGCCGGGTGGGGGGGAGAGGCGGGAGGGGGAGAGGCGGGAAGGGGGAGATGGGAGGGGTGGGGGAGGGGCGGGAGGGGAGAGGGGGAGGGGAAAGGGGGAGGGGGAGGGGGGGAGGGGGAGGCGGAGGGGGGAGGCGGGAGGGGGGAGGGGGAAGGGTGGGGGGAGGCGGGAGGGAAAAGGGGGAGGGGGGAGGGGAAAGGGGGAGGGGGAGGGGTGGAGGGGGAAGCAGAAGGGGGGAGGCGGGAGGGGGAGGGGGAGGGGTGGGGGAGGCGGGAGGGAAAAGGGGGAGGGGGAGGAGTGGGGGGGAGGCGGGAGGGGAGAGGGGGAGGGGAGGGGGGGGGGGGAGGGGGGAGGGAGAGGGGGAGGGGGAGGGGAAGGGGGAGGGGGAGGGGGGGGAGGGGGAGGGGGAAGGAGGGAGGCGGGAGGGGAGAGGTGGGAGGCGGGAGGGGGGAGATGGGAGGGGTGGGAGGTGGGAGGGGAGAGGGGAGGGGAAAGGGGAGGGGAGGGGTGGAGGGGGAGGCGGAAGGAGGGAGGCGGGAGGGGGAGGGGGAGGGGAAGTGGGAGGCGGGAGGGGAGAGGTGGGAGGCAGGGGGGAGGCGCGAGGCGGCGCGTCGGGCCGGCACCTGACTTGGGCAGCATGGCCACCATGTCGTCCGGGAGCCCCACGGTCGGGTAGAAGTCCTGGAAGGCCTTCAGGGCCTGGGGACTGGCTTCCTGGGTCCGGCCTGGGGCAGAGGGCCCCTGTGAACCCCGCGGTTTGGGGAGCGCCACTCCGCAGACCCCCCGGGAATGAAAGCCCAATAGGCTCTCCGCCCTGGTCCTGGGGCTCAGGCCGCCAGGAAGGGGGTCCCCGCCCTCAGGAGGCCAGAGGGGGCCCCTCCCGCCAAGCCCCCCAGCGAAGCCGGGGAGTCCCGCCGCCCCGTCACACCCCTCACACCGGACCGGACCTCCCGCCCGGGCTTGGGAGTTCGTGACCAGGAGGCCGAGGAGGATTCGGGCCGGCCCTGAAGGGGCGGGGCCAGGAGGAGACGGTGGGCGGGCATGGTGGGCGGGGCGGGGCGGGGCGGTGTAGGTTGTGGGCGGGGTTGGACGGATATAGATTGTGGGCGGAGTTATGGGCGGGGTATAGACTTGTGAGGGGGCGTGGGCAGGGCAGGTATGGGTGGTGGGCGGGGCCGTGGGCGGGGCGGGTGCAGGTGGTGGGCGGGGCCTCACTGTAGAGCTGCACCATGGTGCTGAGCGCCCCCTCCAGCTCCTTGTAGATGTAGACCACGGCGAAGGAGCAGTAGTCCGTGTTCGCGATGCGCAGGTCCAGGTAGCCCATGTCTGGGGAGGAGGAGAGCTGCAGGGGCCCTGGACCGACCCCCCACACCCGCCTCCGCTCCCAGGGGCGAAGGGAGAGGGGCAGGAGATGGGGGTGGAGGGGGTCCTGGTTTAAGGACAGTCAGTCCCAGGATCACCCCCTGGAGAACCGGCATCAGGGGCCTGTGAGGGGGAGAGGGGGAGGACCTACCTGGGACTCGGAAGTGTCCCTCCATGCCCACCTTTAGGAACTCGGCGTCCACCCGGTTGCAGCCGTCACCCCTGAGGGTCACAGCCCACTCACTCTCCGAGCTGCCCAGGCCCCCCCGCCCGCCAGCGGCACCGCCCGCCGGCTCACCAGGGGAACGCCATGTGGACGCTGAGGTTGCCCCCGGCCTCAGCGGCCACGGTGCTGGTGGACATCAGCAGGTGGTCCTTCTTGTCCAGGAAGACCTTGCAGTCGGAGGCCATGGCGACCACGTACCAGAGGCCTGAGAACTGCGAGGAGCTCGGTGACCGGCCGGCTCGGGCCCGGGAGCACAAGGCCGTCACCCAGAACCCGGACTCATCCGAGCCCACACGGCGGGTCCCCAGAGCGCTCTGCCCACCGCCTGGGCCTGCGACTGGGTGGACGAGGGCCCTGTGCTGACGGCCGTGTGGGGCAGGTCACACCGCCACTGCGAACCTCCATACCCCCTGGGAAATGGGTCAGCCGTCATCCCACAGGGGGACTTTGGGGTTCCATAGAGAGCAGGTCTAAAGGGTCGCAGGCCCCAGGCCTAGCAGGGGGAGACAGCTCTGACTGTGACCCCATCGCTGTGGGTTTCAGCAGCTCAGCCCCCAGCCCCACCACGGCCCCTCCACAGCACAGCACCACACGGCTCGGCGGCCTCGGTACCTTCTTGGCATCAAAATCTGGCTGCACCAGGACATCAGCCCAAGCTGTGGACACCCAGAGCAGCACCAGGACCCGGCCCAGCAGGACGGACTGCATCCCCATGCCTGTCTCTGGTCCTGACCGTGTCTGAGCGCCCGCGGGCCCGGCTTTATAGCCCAGCCCTGCGGCCTGCTCACCAGATGGGCAGGCTGGCCGGCGGGAGGGGTGCGGGCCCCGGAAACCACAGCTCCTTTGTCCATTGTTTGGCACAATCTCTAAGTGTCCCCACGGGCTCCAGGGGTCACTTCCCGGAGGGCGTCACCTGCCTCTGCCCTGCTGGGGATCTGCCCCCCAACCTGCCAGGCAGTCCTGGGGTCCCCAGCAGAGACTCGGACCTCAGGCCCCCCGTCCACCTCAGGTGTGGCTAGGGCAGGGGACCCAGGGCCCTCGGGGGTGCTGCGGGGAGCAGTCAGGCTCAGGCTTGCTCTAGCCAGCGGCCTCACTCGGGGCCTGGGTCCCCCATAGTCCTCACTCCCTCTGCCCCCCCCACAGCCATGAAGGCACCACTGGCCCAGCCTGTGGACCTTGTCCAGGGGCAGAGCCTGTGCCAGGGCAGCTGTGACAGAGGGGACACCAAAGGCCTGGGCGCCCCTCACTCCAGACCTCCATTGCCCCCCCCAAAAAAAATCCCCATGAAGCCACCAGCTGGGCCTCCAGCAAGCAGGACGGAGAGTGGGGTGAGCTGTCACTCAGGACGGATTATGGTCTCTAAGTCGCCTTATCACCGGTTGCATAAGTATTTGGGCAGGAGTATCGCCAGGGAGGCACTGCGGCTGGCGGCTGGCGGCTGGCGGCTGGCAGGGGCCTGGGGTGCCAAGGCCTCTGCAGGCAGCGTCTCATGGCCATGCAGACCAAGCACCCAGGGGCATCGTGCCAGGAGCAGCATGTAGCCTGGGCACCCCACCAGATGCCCCTGGGTCCCTGGGAAGGGCTGGAACCACCAGTGCCCCAGAGGGGAAGGGGTCTGGGGTGGGAGAAAGACCCTGGTCGCCAGGGGGAGGGAGGGGTGGAGCGGAGGCTGTGCCAGTGCTCAGCTGCTGCGTCCCAGAGTCACAGGACAGAAGACAGGCAAAGTATCCCCAGGAAAATACTTACACAACATGCACCTGATAAACAACTCGGACCCAGCATCTACCAAGAACGCTAAGACTCAAGAAACCTCCCAATGTAAAACAACAACAAAAAAAAAACCACAAACGGGGAAACATGGTTTAAAAGACATTTTTTAAAAATATATTTTATTGATTTTTTACCGAGAGGAAGGGAGAGGGATAGAAAGTTAGAAACATCGATGAAAAACATCAACCAGCTGCCTCCTGCACACCCCCTACCAGGGATGTGCCCACATCCAATGTACATGCTTTTGACCAGAATCAAACCTGGGACCTTTCAGTCCACAGACCGACGCTCTATGCACTGAGCCAAACCAGTTTCGGCTAAAAAGACATTTTTTAAAATATATTTTATTGATTTTTTTACAGAGAGGGAGAGGGATAGAGAGAAACATTGATGAGAGAGAAACACAATCAGCTGCCTCCTGCACACCCCCTACTGGGGAGGTGCCCACAACCAAGGTACATGCCCCCCACCAGAATCGAACTTGGGACCCTTCGGTGCACAGGCCAAAGCTCTATCTGGAGCCACACTGGTTAGGGCTAAAAAGAAATTTCAACAAAGAAGACATTCAGCCTGGCCCGCGTGGCTCAAGGGTTGAGCGTCGATCACAATTCCATTACCGGTGTTAACGAGAAGGGAAAAAAAACATTGAAACCTGTAAAGAATTTTTGTGAGTTTATTTGAGCAGAACCTCAATGGATTGAGATAATGCTCCAAAGAATGGCGGGTTACATTTCTCTATTTATACACTGAAATCAAAGGAGGGACATAGGTGGGTTACATGAAATTCATTGGTGATGGAGTAAGGAGGCGGGAGAAAGCAAAGCGGTGGGAAAGTCCTGGGATTGGATAAAAAGTAAAATGATGGAGTGTACTCAGGTGAGTGCAGGAACAATTAACATAATAACGAAGGAATCTGAGGCATCTGTCCTGGCGCCCACCACAATGGTTGTACCCCAGGGGCTCCAGAAAAAAGGGAAGTTACAAGTTACCCAGACATCTCACAGATATGTTATCTTAGGGGCAAAAAGGCAAATGGGCTCAGTAAAAAGATCGAAGTTGATATTTGTCTGGGATAATATCTGGGACATGACTACCTACTATAACCTGTTAGATATTTAATTTTCAAACCATCTTTTGTGGTTATCTTAGGTCTCTGGGTTTGCAAGACCGCCACGCAGGCCTTCCCTGAGCTTGTCAGGTTAGCATGTGGCTCTTTTCTTTTACACAGGTCAGGGCATCCAGTGGGGAACATGCAGGAGGCAGCCAATCAATGATTCTCATCGTTGATGTTTCTTTCTCCCGCCCACTTCCTCTCTGAAATAAAAAACAAACAAAGTCAAAGATTCAGTCCTTCCTGGGGTTAGCAAGGCCCAAGGGACTCCATTATCCTGCTAATCTGGAGCCTGATATCCTTCAGTAATCTCCTGCTGGCAAGGTGCGCGGGGGTCCTCCCACCGCCTCACACACCCACACACCCATGCAACTCCCAATGTGCACACAGGCACACCCACACAGCCTGCAGGGCCAGGGCCCCTCCTGGAGCCGGGAGAAACCCGCGGGAGAGCAGGGAGCTCGCCCCTCTGGACCCCACCGGCTATCTGGCGGGGACCCCAGCAGCATTCCCGTGGAGCTGCCGGAGGCCCCCAGAGGCGAGATCCTGAGCGAGGCCTGCAGCCCGCCTAGGCCGCCCGGGCTCACTCCGAACGGGTTGGGCTCTCACAGCCCAGACCGGAGGCCGTGTGCTGGGGGCGGCCGGCAGAGCACTGCACACGGTGGGACCGCGTGGGGCCGGTGATGGGGAGCGCGACCCCACCTCCCGCCGCGCAACGTCACAGAACCCGGGCTGCGGGGCGCGTCAGGTCCCGACCCTACTTCCGGCTCGCCCCGCCCATCTGGACCACGCCCCGCCCCGGCCTCCTCCCGCACCTGCGCAGATAGGCTCTCAAGGCCCCGCCCCTTTCCCTAAGCCCCGCCCGCCCTTCTGCCCGCACATGCGCAAATAGGCTCAAGGCATAGCCCCTTTCCGCCACGCCCTCCTCCAGCACCTGCGCAGATAAGCCTTCAATGCCCCGCCTCTTCCCCAAGCCCCGCCCCTCCCGGCACGTCTGCCTGCGCCTGCGCCTGCGCCTGCGCCTGCGCAGACGGCGGCCAGGCCCCACCAGCCATGGTGAACCTGGGGCTGTCCCGGGTGGACGACGCCGTAGCCGCCAAGCACCCGGTGAGAAGGCCGCCTGGGGCGCGGGGCGGGGCTCGGTAGGCAGAGTCAGGACCCTGTGCTGTGGGGATGGGGCACCCCGCGGGGGTATCCTGGTGGGCAGGGGCGGTGGGATGTGCCCGAGCGCCGGGGCCTCACGGTGAGTGCCGAGAGGAGGGGCGGAGGGGCGGGAGCGCCGGCGAAGGCAGAGGGCGGGGCCTGAGCCGTGACCCGCCCTCTCCCCTTCCCTCCCTCTCCCTCCTCCCCTTCCTCTCTCCCTCCTCTCCTTCCTCTCCCCTTCCTCTCTCCTTCTTCTCCCCCCTCCCCCTCCCTCCTTCCCTTCCTCTCTCCTTCCTCTCCCCCTCCCTCTTCCCCCTCCCTCTCCCTCCTCCCCTCCCTCTCCCCCCTCTCCCCCCTCTCCTCCCGCAGGGGCTGGGCGAGTACGCCGCCTGCCAGTCGAGCGCCTTCATGAAGGGCATTGTCACCCTTGTCACAGGTAGGCCGGGGCAGATGCCAGGGGTGCAGCCCTCACCTCGGTCCCCATCTGCCTCCCCGGCAGGCAGGCAGGCCTGCAGTGCTGGGTGCCGGAAGGTGCGGGGCTGCGCCGGTTCCAGCCAGCCTGTCCCCAGGAGGCTCTGTCCCCGGAAGGCTCCCCCCCAGGAGGCTCTCCCCCCCCCAGGAGGCTCTCTCCCCAGGAGGCTCTCTCCCCCAGGAGGCTCTCCCCCCCCAGGAGGCTCTCCCCCCCCAGGAGGCTCTGTCCCCGGAAGGCTCTCCCCCAGGCTCTCCCCCACAGGAGGCTCTCCCCCCCCAGGAGGCTCTCCCCCAGGAGGCTCTCCCCCCCCCAGGAGGCTCTCCCCCACCAGGAGGCGCTCCCCCCCCAGGAGGCTCTCTCCCCCAGGAGGCTCTCCCCCCCCCAGGAGGCTCCCCCCCCCAGGAGGCTCTCCCCCCCCAGGAGGCTCCCTCCCCAGGAGGCTCTCTCCCCAGGAGGCTCTCTCCCCCAGGAGGCTCTCCCCCCCCCAGGAGGCTCCCCCCCAGGAGGCTCCCCCCCAGGAGGCTCTCCCCCCAGGAGGCTCCCCCCACAGGAGGCTCCCCCCCAGGAGGCTCCCCCCCAGGAGGCTCCCCCCCCCAGGAGGCTCCCCCCCCAGGAGGCTCCCCCCCAGGAGGCTCCCCCCCAGGAGGCTCTGTCCCCCAGGAGGCTCTCCCCCCCCCAGGAGGCTCCCCCCCCAGGAGGCTCTCCCCCCCCAGGAGGCTCTCTCCCCAGGAGGCTCCCCCCCCCAGGAGGCTCTCCCCCCCCCAGGAGGCTCTCCCCCCCCCAGGAGGCTCCCTCCCCAGGAGGCTCTCCCCCCAGGAGGCTCTCCCCACAGGAGGCTCTCCCCCCCACAGGAGGCTCCCCCCCAGGAGGCTCCCCCCCAGGAGGCTCTCTCCCCCAGGAGGCTCTCCCCCCAGGAGGCTCTCCCCCCCCAGGAGGCTCTTCCCCCCCCCCAAGAGGCTCCCCCCCCCAGGAGGCTCTCTCCCCCAGGAGGCTCCCCCCCCCCAGGAGGCTCCCCCCCCAGGAGGCTCCCCCCCCAGGAGGCTCTCCCCCCCCCAGGAGGCTCTCCCCCCGCAGGAGGCTCTCTCCCCAGGAGGCTCTCCCCCCCCAGGAGGCTCTCCCCCCCCCAGGAGGCTCCCCCCCCAGGAGGCTCTCCCCCCCCCAGGAGGCTCCCTCCCCAGGAGGCTCCCCCCCAGGAGGCTCTCCCCCCAGGAGGCTCTCCCCCCCACAGGAGGCTCCCCCCCAGGAGGCTCCCCCCCCAGGAGGCTCTCTCCCCCACAGGAGGCTCCCCCCCAGGAGGCTCCCCCCCCAGGAGGCTCTCTCCCCAGGAGGCTCCCCCCCAGGAGGCTCTCCCCCCAGGAGGCTCTCCCCCCCACAGGAGGCTCCCCCCCAGGAGGCTCCCCCCCCAGGAGGCTCTCTCCCCGCAGGCACCGGCACGGCCCTGGGCCTGCAGATGTTCATTCAGAGGAAGCTGAAGTACCCCTTCCAGTGGAACGTCCTGGTGGCCGTGGGTGGGTACCCCAGGTCCCGCCCGGGCCTCAAGGTGCTGGAGGTGATGCTGGGTCCTCAGAGGAGCCGGTTCCCACTAAGAGCCCCAGGGGGCTATGTTCCGGACATCGCTGCCTCCAGGGGATGGGGCTCCAGTTCCGGGGGGTGGGGGTGACCCCTGCCCATGCCCACCACCACCATCTGCCCAGAGGATCCTGTGCCCACGTCTGAGGCCCAGCCCCCCCTCTGCTCCACAGTCGCAGGCTCCTTGGCCAGCTACGGGGTGACCCGTGTGGAGACCCAGAAGTGCAGCGACCTCTGGCTCTTCCTGGAGACGGGGAAGCTCCCCGCAGACATGGGCGCAGGTGAGAGGCCGGGCGTGGCAGGCAGAGCTGTGCCTGGTGCTCGAGGGGAGGCTGGGCGGGGTCTCCCTCCTGCCTGTGCCCCCGCGGGCACTTCCTGGGGAAGGGGTGGGGCAGCAGATGGAACTGGGAGCCCTGTAAGCAGGAGGAAGGCCCATAGGGGCTGGCTGGGGAGGGGGCAGGGGGAGGAGTGTGGGCGCCTGTGAAAACGGCTGCATGGAGCAGCTGGGCATCAGACGGCAGAGGATTGGCCTGGTCCTGGCCTCCACTGCCTGCATCCTGGTTGGAGGCCCCGCCTCTGTTTTTGCCACAGAAAACTGGGTGCGTCTTTAGGCTGTGGATCTGTCTCTGTTTGCCTCTTACAGATCAACGCACGTAGGAGAGCCCCAGCCAGGCACACGGGTCCTGGGCCCAGAGAGTTCTAGAACACAGCACCTCGCACCCCGGCTGGCCCTCCCCGCACCCCGGGGCGCGTGTGAGAGGACTCTGCACTCGGGACTGGCAATCCCTTTCTGGGCCCATTCCCCACCGTCCGGGGGACGATTCTGGGCTTGTGGACTAATAAACACCTCGCTCTTCCCGCCGAGTGCTACAGGAGCAGGAAGAAGCTGAGAGACAAATGTCACCATAGTGCCAGGCAGTTCCTGACACCGAACCCCAGGATTGGACACGCCCACCGGCCCTGGAAGGCAGTGAGGCCTCTCCGTGGGCGGGGCGGGGCGGGGCGGGGGCGGGGGTTCTGTTTCCCTGGCGTGGAGGAGCAGACCACAGGGTACAGCCAACAGCACCTGGTCCCGAGCTGCTGGTCCCGGGCAGGACATGGCTGTGCCCACCCGCCTGTCGTCCCACACACACGTGTCCGATGAAGTCACTGCTCGGGCGGAGGAAGGCCGAGCTCTGTCCTCACAGAAGGGAAGCTCACGAGTGGGCAAGACTAGCCCCCTCCCCACCCCAACAGGAAGAGGAGGGAACCTGTCAACTCCGGGCAGGTCCATGGTCCTCTGCAGCTGGCTTCCCCGCACGCTGAAGGCACCCAGCACAGGGCCACCCCAATCCATCCGGTCAGCCCCGTGCCTCTCGCCCCGGCGGGCGTTCAAAGAACACCTATGAGCACCTGCTGTGTGCCTGCCACAACTCGGGGTGGGAGAGCGGTGGAGGAAGCCCAGGGCAGCCGTGTAAAAGTCAGGTGGGCGGCCCCTCAGTCCATCCCCTGCTCCATGGCCCCTTCTAAATCCACCTCATGGCCCCAGGCCGCTGCGCCAGCCCCAGCCATCGAGGCTTTGTCCGCTCACAGGAAGGAGAGAGCAGTGCGCTCCCTGTGCTGCTCGCACGGCGCCGGCCAGACCTACATCCTGCACACCTGCGCACAGGCACCCCCCACAAAGTGGGGGCAGCCCACGCCCTGACAAAGTCCTGTGTCTGAGCGAGAAGGGAGAGCCAGTATTGGGGGACAGTAGGCAGGCTCTGCCTCAGACTGGCTGGGAGCCTTCCATCTCCCCCCGGGCAATGCCTGGCTGAGGGAGGGCAGAGGGCAGGGGTTTAGAGCAGACTGGACCCACTTTTTTTTTTTTTTTTTTTTTTTTTTTTAAATTTTTAACAGAGAGGAAGAGAGTGATAGTTAGAAACATTGATGAGAGAGAAACACTGATCAGCTGCCTCTTACACACACCCCACTGGGGATGTGCCCACAACCAAGGTACATGCCCTTGACCGGAATCGAACCCGGGACCCTTCAGTCCACAGGCCAATGCTCTATCCACTGAGCCAAACCGGTTTTGACTGGACCCACTTTTTAACACAGAGGGGCCAGAAGGTCGAGGACCTGCAGGAGCAGTCCTGGAGGAAGATGGGGCTGTGACAGTGGGCGGAGACCATTGTTGGGGCTGAACCTAATGCCCCCCCACACACATTCACACGGTGCAGCCTCAGAACACAACCCATTAGTAGATTGGACCTCGGAGAAGAGGAAGTTAAAATGAGGGTGGGCCCTAGCTGGTTTGGCTCAGTGGATGGAGCGCCACCTGTGGACTGAAGGGTCCCGGGTTCAGATCTGGTCAAAGGCTGTACCTCGACTGCAGGCTCCTCCCCGGCCCAGGCCCTGGTCAAGGGCCCGTGCAGGAGACAACCAGTCAGTGTGTTTCTCTCATATCGATATTTCTGTCTTTCCCTCTTGGGCCTGCATGGGAGGCAACCAACCGATGTTTCTCTTCTCCTCCCCCCTTTCACTCTAAAATCAATAGAAAAATATCCTTGAGTGACAATTAAAAATCCTATTTAATAAAACCTTAATATACAAACCTATGGAACAACAAAACAAGAGGTGCTATGACATACACTGACCACCTGGGGGCAGACGTCAATGCAGGAGCTGCCCCTGATGGTCAGTGCACTCCCAGGGGGAGCACCACTCAGCCAGAAGCCGGGCTCATGGCTGGCAAGCACAGGTGGTGGCGGAGCCTCTCCCACCTCCATGGCAGCGCTAAGGAGCAGCCAGCAGGCGGCAGTAAGGAGCGAGGGTGCAGTCCAGGCTGAGGGACCCGGGACCCCTCCTCCCCAGTGCACAAATTCCGTGCACCGGGCCTCTAAATAATAAAATGAGGGTGGGCCCTGGTCCCGCCTGACGCATTCCTTATAAGAGGAGGAGGTGTGGACGCAGGAGGGCACAGAGCAGAGGCCCTGTGGGGACTCGGGGAGGACGGCCACTGGGGACTGGAGAGGAGCCTCGGGGAGCCGGGCGCCCACCCCTGGGCCTCGGACATGCAGCCCCCAGGACGTGAGATAACTAAGGTCCATTGTCTAAGCTGCTGTCCCTGGCGCTGAGGTCGGCGGTCCTGGCGGAGCCAGGCAGGGTCACTGGGAAAAGTAACCAATTCGGCAGGGTCCGAGGCCATCCAGGGCTTGGGGCCCGCGGCTCGAGGGGAGGCTTGGGCTGGGGTGCAGAGATGGGGGCTGACCTCCCTGGAGTGACATCTAACGCTGGACTCGGGCCCCCGCCAGTGTGGCTCAGTGGGTAAAGCGTCGGCCCGCAGACTGAAGGGACCCGGGTTCCATTCCGTCCAGGACATGTACCTCGGTTGCAGGCTGGGTCCCCACCCAGCTGCCCAGCCTGCTCGGGCCTGTATGGGAGGCAACCAATTGATGTTTCTCTCCTCTTCCTCCCACTCTCTAAAAATCAATGGGGAGATATCCTCAGGTGAGGATTAAACAAACAAAAATATGTTTTAAATAAATAGAGCTAGGCTTGGGAATTCCTGGGGGAAGTGGAGGCAGAGGTCAGGGAGAGCAGGGGTAGCGAGGGCCGAGGCTGGGCGTCTCATGACCTAGGTCACCGGGGTGTGGCGTGTGAACTTGGGGAGGGGGGAGAAGAGACCCTGCAAGGCAGCGAGCAGTCAGGGGTTGGGAAGACAGTGAAAGGGACTGGGACGGGAGGCACTGCCATCCACCACCAAGCCGCCCACCTGTGGGAGAGAGTGCCTGGCCCGGCCGCACTCCCCAACAGAGCAGCCACGAGACTCCCCCTGAGGCCGGCCGGCCGGTGGCAGAGGGCGGTGGTAGGGGTGGTGGCAGAGGGTGGTGGGGCTTTCAGAACCCTGGCCCCCATCACAATGGGCAGAGGTTCCGGGGACAATTTGAACTATTGTGCTGCTGAGCAGGCCGGCTCAGGGGGGCGGAGGCGGGGCTGGCGGGCGAGATGAAGATGTGGAGCGAGGGGGACGTGGACGAGCAGATCCAGGAGCTGAAGACCATCACGCAGCTCCAGGGTGAGCCGCCACCCGGGGACCACACGCCCACACCCACCGTCCAGGCCGGTGCAGGACCTTAGGGTTGTGTTTTATTCTCAGTCCTCGCCCGAGGGTATCTTCCCATTGATTTTTAGAGAGAATGGGGGAGAGAGGGAAAGACTGGCAGTGAGAAACATCTTGTGATAGAAACACATGGATGGGTTGCATCCTGCAGGCGCCCTGACCTGGGCCAGGCCAAGGAGGAGCCTGCAACCAAGGTACGTGCCTTTGACTGGAATTTACCCTGAGACCCTTCAGTCTACAGGCCAACACTCTATCCACTGAGCCACACTGGCCATGGTTCAGTGTTTGTTTAATATATTTATATTGAGCCGAAACCGGTTTGGCTCAGTGGATAGAGCATCGGCCTGCAGACCAAAAGGTCCCAGGTTCGATTCCAGTCAAGGGCATGTACCTTGGTTGCGGTCACATCCCCAGTGAGGGGTGTGCAAGAGGCAGCTGGTTGATGTTTCTCTGTCATCGATGTTTCTAGCTTTCTATCCCTCTCCCTTCCTCTCTGTAAAAACTCAATAAAATGTATTATATATATACATATAAATACATATATTTGTATTGATTTCAGAGAGAAAGGGAGCGGGAGAGATAGAAACATCAATGAAGAGGGAGAACCATTGATAGGTTTTGCCTCCTGCAAGCCCCCTACTGGGGATTGAGCCCACAACCCAGGCATGTGCCTTTGACCAGAATCAAACCTGGGACCCTTCAGTCTGTAGGCCGACGCTCTAGCCGCTGAGCCAAACTGGCTAGGGCAGTGTTTTGTGGGGTTTTTTTTGTGTTTTTTTTTTCTATATTTTATTGATTTTTCACAGAGAGGAAGGGAGAGGGATAGAGAGCTAGAAACATCGATGAGAGAGATACATCGACTAGCTGCCTCCTGCACCCCCCCCACCGGGGATGTGCCCGCAACCAATGTACATGCTCTTGACCGGAATCGAACCCGGGACCTTTTAGTCCGCAGTCCGACGCTCTATCCACTGAGCCAAACCGGTTTCGGCTTGTTTTTGTTTTTTAATATATTTTTTAATTGATTTCAGAGAGGAAGAGAGAGCTACAAATATCAGTGATGAGAATCATTGATTGGCTGACTCCTGCGCGCCCCAAACTGGGGGTCCAGATGGAAACCCGGGCTTGTGCCCCGACCAGAAATCAAACCATGACCTCCTAGTTCACAGGTCGATGCTCAGTCACTGAGCCCTGCTGGCAAGGCAGGACAGTCCAGGGCATACAGACTAGTGGTCATCCAGCCACCCACCTCCCACACAGAGCCGGGAGAAGGCCTCAAAGCCAGGGCCTGCCATGCAGGGGGCCCGGAGGGGAGTGGAGATTTGAGCATCATGGACCCCAAAGCTAGAGGGGACAAGAAGGGATCCAGCCGAAACCAGTTTGGCTCGGGATAGAGCATCAGCCTGCGTGCGAACTGAAAGGTCCCAGGTTCGATTCCGGTCAAGGGCATGTACATTGGTTGCGGGCACATCCCCAATGAGGGTGTGCAAGAGGCAGCTGGTCAATGTTTCTAGCTCTCTATCTCTCTCCCTTCCTCTCTGTAAAAAATCAATAAAACATATTTTTTTAAAAAGTAAAAAGAAGGGCCCAGCTGCTTCCGTGGCCAGCAGGCCTGGGTGGTGTCACAGGATCCCGCTGCTGAACACAGGCTGCTGAGCGGTCCCCCTCCCTCTGTGGCCACAGAGCAATGCCGGGCGCTGCAGATCCAGGCCATGAAGGAGAAGACGGTCAAGAACAAGGCCACGGTGGCGCTCCTGCGCAGCAACATCCGCCGGGGGACCCAAGAGTGGGCGCTGGCCAACAATGTGAACAGCCCGCCCCGCCCTGCGGCCTGGGGGGGGGGGGGGGCGGGCGGTGCCGAGACAGACCCGCAGGTGGAGGGAGCCTCTGTCCGTCCCGCTCCGCCTCCTGGAGCCGGGGCATCGGGAGGGGCAGGCGGGACCGTGCTGGGCTACACCCTGCAGCGGGGGCCCCTCTGGCCTCGTGGGGGGACCCGGGCTCCTCTCCGCACCCACAGAACCGCTGAGCTGGGCGGGCCCAGGTGGGGCCCGTAGCCCCTGCCTCCCGGGTCTGGCTGCTGGGCTGGCGCGGGCGGGAGGCCTGGAGGGAGGGGGACGCCGAGGGGCGCCCCGCTCAGCCGCTGCCGCCGCCCACAGTACGACAAGCAGTCCATCTCCAGGGCCTGCGGGAACGACGTGCCCATGAGGCTGGCGCACTGCCGCAGCTCCATGGAGGTGAGCCGCCCCGGGGACCCCCCACCCTCACCCCTCCCGCCAAATGACAGTGAGGTCCCCCCCAGGTCCCTCCTGCCCGCCCGCAGCAGGGGACCCGGGCCCTCGCACACCGTGCCCCGCCCCCGCCCCCACCAGGTGGCGCGGGAGAAGCTGCGCAAGTACGTCTTCGACCGCGTGAACGTGCACAACGTCCTGATCCACCTGGTGCGGCGGCGCGGGCAGCAGCTGGAGGGCCTGCAGCTGCAGCTGGAGGGCCTGCAGCACCAGCCGCTGGCCTCCAAGGAGGAGCTGCGCCTGCTGCAGGTGGGCGGGGCCTCGCGGCGGGGCGGGGTTCTGGCGGCGGGGCGGGGCTCCGCGGGAGGGCGGGGCCAGGTGAGTGAGACACGCCCCCCAGGGCTGGGCTCCGGCTCTCATTCGATCTCCGCCAGGTCATCCGCCAGCTGGAGAACAACATCGAAAAGACCACCATCAAGATCACCACGAGCCAGAACATCCAGCTGCTGTACCAGGACCTGCTGGATTACCTGAAGAAAGTGCGCCCCGCCCCGCCCCGGGAGCCCCGCCCCACCCTGGGAGCCCCGCCCCACTCCGGGAGCCCCGCCCCGGGAGCCCCGCCCCGGGAGCCCCGCCCCGCCCCGGAAGCCCTGCCCCGAGAGCCCCCTCACCGAGAGCCCCCTCCCCGGGAGCCCCGCCCCGCCCCGGGAGCCCCGCCCCGGGAGCCCCGCCCCGGGAGCCCCGCCCCGGGAGCCCCGCCCCGCCCCGGAAGCCCCTCCCCGAGAGCCCCCTCCCCGGGAGCCCCGCCCCGGGAGCCCCGCCCCGGGAGCCCCTCCCCGGGAACCCCGCCCCGGAGCCCCGCCCCGGGAGCCCCGCCCCGGGAGCCCCCTCCCCGGGGAGCCCGCTGAGGGGGTGGGGCCGGCCTCAGGCCCAGCCCGTGTGCAGGGCGGGATCTCGGTGGTGACGGGAACCAGAGGAAGGAGCCGGTCAGGGCAGCCTGTACCTGGAGCCCTGAGTCTCTGACCCCAAACCCAGGCGGAGCCCCTCGCTTCGCTTCAGAAAACAGTGGGTCTCCCTGGGGTTTAGGGTCACCGCTCACACCGCGGGACGTCCCATCACAGCCTCCTTTGGAGGGTCTGGGCTGCCTGGCCCGGTCCTCAGGGCGCTCACAGCCTGAGGTCTAGGCGTGGGGTGCAGGCACAGTCCACTCAGCGGGGCCGTAGAAGAGGGGAAGGGCCAGGGGAGGGAGTGGCCATGGACAGAGGCAGCTTGCAGTTGGCCCACACCCCTGGGCCACCTGGTCCGTGCCCACCTGCCCTGCCCTTCCCCGCAGGAGCTGTCAGGATACCCCACCGAGCTGGACAAGCTGCAGAACCTCGTGGTCGACTACTGCTCGGAGCTGTCGGACATGACGGTCATGTCCCAGGACGCCATGATGATTACGGATGAGGTCAAGGTGAGCCAGGTCCCTGGCTGGGGGCCCTGCAGGGCTCTGGGCCGACCTGACTGGCCCTGGCATCTTCAGGACACCTCCGGGCCACACCACCGGGGACCGCTGGAGTCCCGCCCCCACCAGCCTCCTCCACTCACACTGTGGCCCTGGGCTGGGAAGCTGTGGGTGGAGGAGCCGGTGCAGGGAGGGAAGGTCCCGCCGCTCAGAGACCGGCAGAAGGAAGGGTGAAGGCGGTGGGCACCGTATTGTAGGAAGAAGGCCTGGCCGACAGCCTCGATGGCTGTTTTCAAACCTAGGATCTCGGGGAAAGTGGCCACAGGAGTTAGCACAGGGGAGCCCCCGGGACGCACTCCCACCGCCTGCCACCTGTGTCCCCAGATGAACTTGAGGCAGAAGGAGGCGACCTTCATCGAGGAGCGCCGGGCCCGGGAGAACAGGCTGAACCAGCAGAAGAAGCTGATCGACAAGATCCACACCAAGGAGACCAGCGAGAAGTACCGCCGGGTGAGCACACGGCCGGGGTGGGGGGCTGGGGGGGGGCCGGGGGGGGGCGCGGGGTCCTCTGCGGAGGATGCCGCTCACCTCACCCCCACCCCTTCCGTCAGGGCCGGAGGGACTTGGACTTCCCCACCAGGTTGGTGGGCTCGGAGAGCAAAGGTGAGTGCTCTGCTCCCCGCCTGCCCCAACCAGGGTCCCCGAGGCCAGCACCGGCCGGAGCCACCCAGACAGGTCACCGTGAGGCCCGAGGGAGGGAGAGGGATGTGCCCCTGCCTCTCCCTGGCCACACCTGCCCAGGTTGGACGCCCGTGGCCACCAGCGTCAAGGCCACCTGCTTTGGGCTCATGGCCAATGACTGAACCTTTGGCTTCTTAGCTGCAAACCCTACAGGTACCCTGGTCACCCCGAGTCCTCAGGAGAGACAGCTAGGGTCCCCCGAGCTGCTCTGAGGAGCCCCACTAAGCCCCACCGAGCCAGGCTGCGAGGTCCCCCTCTGGGGGCACTGCCCGGGGGCTCCCTGGAAGGGGCGGTTTGCCTGGAAGCAGGGTAAGGTGCAAGCACCTATGACAGGGACCCAGCTCTTGGGGGGCCTGCCCTGGTGACGGGGCAGGCACAGAGGCCTCCCAGACCTGGCTCAGTGCTCTCGGTTCTCGGTCCACCCTGCACGCTGGCCATCCCCCCTCCCCCCTGCTCTACTCAGTGAGGAAAAGAGAGACCTCTCAGTCCGACATGGAATACCAGACGAATCTGACCGCGTTGGTGGAGAAAATCAAGTCTGCTGTGCGGTGCTCCCACCTCTGGGTACTGCTCCCTGGCACTCCTGGGGTGTTGGGGAAAGGGGAAGGGCACACTGAACTGGGCTGGGCTCTGTAGGATGAATGAATGAATGAATGAACGAACGAACGAACACAGTACGCTGTGTCCTCCACAGCTCAGAGTAGAGGCCCCTCACAGCTGACCCATCCCAGCATGTCCCAGGGGATGAGAGAACCACAGAATCTGAGGACCCGAAGGCCTAGGCCAGTGGTCGGCAAACTCACTAGTCAACAGAGCCAAATATCAACAATTGAAATTTCTTTGGAGGAGAGCCAAATTTTCTAAATTTCTGATGTCACTTCTTCAACATAGACTGGCCCAGGCCGTGATATTTTGTGGAAGAGCCACACTCAAGGGGCCAAAGAGCCGCATGTGGTTTGATAGCCATAGTTTGCCGACAACAGGCCTGGGGCGTGGCCTCCACCTCCACCTCTAACTCCTTCCCAAACTGACGGCATTATAATGAGCAGCTGCCTCTCCACCTGTTCCCCATTATTTTAATCCGATCTGGGTTTATTCTTAGTAAGCTTGAGCTCCCATCCGTGGCGCTGACATAAGCTTGTCCACCCTTGCAGCTATGTGGGGTCTTGGTGGCGGTCTCTGGTCTGCCCTCTGCTTGTTGTGAGGCTGATGTGCAATGACACAAAGCCCTTCCCCTGATGGATGGATGGATGGATGGCTTCCCACAAGCCCTCAGTGCCCGGCTGCCTCGGACCTCATTCCGGACCGCTGGGAGGGGCAGGTCTGTGGGCCCTGCCCAGCTGGCCCACACCTGCTTCTCCCTGCCGGCACGGCCAGGACATCACAGGCCAGTTCCTGGCTCAGAGGAACACGGAGGACAACCTGCAGCTGCAGATGAAGGAGTGTGAGGAGAGGCGCAGTCAGCTGCGGGCCTTGATGAGGAAGCTGGAGATGGAGGAGGCGCTGCTCAAGTTCCACCAGTCCACCAGCTCCGGCAGGTACCCGGGCGCCCTGCCCGCCCTCTGGCCAGACTGCCCGCCCACCCCCACCCCCAGGCTGGGCCGGGGCCAGGCCCCGAGCCCAGGGCGTCCACTGCCAGGCAGCCTGCTCGTGCTCTGCAGCTGATCCGGGGGACCCTGCATGCCCACGTCGCCACTCCCGAGCCCCTGAATCTAGCACAGCACCCAACTCCGCCCTCAGGTCTGTGCCACCCTCCTCCCCATCGTCCTCGACAGCTTTGAGTCCGCCCAGAACAAAATGAAGGACCTGCTGAAGGAGGAGGAGTTCAGGCTGCAGCTGGCCCACAGCAACATGACCAAGAGCCAGAAGCTGCTGCTCACCCTCCAGATGGGCATCGACAACCTGTATCTCCGGCTGGTGGGCATCGCCCTGCCGCCCGCCCAGGTACCGGCCCGCGTGGGGAGGAGCCGCCTGCACGTCTGGCGAAGCGTGGGGGCGAGCAGAGAGGGTCTGAGCCCCTCCCTGTGGTCTGCAGAAGATGGCCACGCCTGACACCCTGGATGGCCTGGACTTGCACAGCAAGCTGGCGTACTGCGAGAATACGCTCCTGTACCTGGTGGACAAGCTGCAGATCCTGTCCGCCACGGAGGAGGTAACGCTGGGCGGGGACACCGGCCTACGCGAGCCGTGTCCCCTCGGAGCTGACCGTCCCCTGTGCCCTGCAGAGCAACATAAAGGTGAGGGACATGCTGGAATCCTCGACTCTGAAGGAGAAGCAGAACACCAGGATCACCTTCGAGGAGCTGGAGGAGGACATGATAGGTTCGGGCTGGGGCTGGGCTGGGAAGCCGGAGGATGTGGGTGGATGGCTGGGCTGGGCTGCGCAGGGCCAGAGGCTGGGTGTGCTCAGCTGACCGGGAGGGCCGGGGATGGAGAGGGTGTGCCGGGGCTTGGTGAGGGGATGTGGAGGCTAGCCATGTCCTGACACGAGAGCCCCAGTGCCCATCAGGAGGCAGAAAGGAGCAAGGGGGAGCCCCGGGTCAGAGTCCTGGGGTTTCTGAGGGAAAGGCAGGGCCAGCAGCTGAAGATCAGCTCCTCTGAGCGATTCCGGGGGACTGGGGACGTGGGGCTGAGCCGTGGCGCTGGCCCTGGCGGGGAATGTTGGTGTGAGGTTTTGATGGCGGAGGGAGGGCGGGCTGTGCGATGGTCAGTTTGCAGGCAGGTCAGTCTCTCCCGGGTCTGCAAGGCCCCAAAGGCCAGCCTCCGGGACAGAGAGCAGGTGGCCCACGCCGGCCCGGCGATGAAGGAAGGCGGCAGGAGCCCAGGGCTAACCCGGCTCCCGGCTCCCTCCCCAGAATCCTTCCACTTCGCCGACGTGGACCACAGCTACGTCCCTTCGCGCGCCGAGATCAAGAAGCAGTCCCAGCGCGTGATCGAGGAGAAGTTCAAGACGGCCAAGAAGAAGAAGAAGTGACCGGAGGGGCCCGCGCCCGCGGCCGGCGCTGTTACACTAATAAACATTTTCCAGAACTGCTGGGGGCTCCCGGGGGGGACCCGAGGCTCAGAACGCGAACCTGGGCAGGCGCCTCGCGTTGGGAAGATACGGGGGCGGGGTGTCCGCGGTGGGGGCGGGCCCCGGAGCCCCGGGTGAGGGTGAGGGCGAGGAAGGGATCCGAGCGCGGATGCGGCCAGAGCGGGACTGAACGGAAACCCCCAGCACCGCCAGCGCCCGCGCACCGCCGCGCCCGCGCACCGCCGCGCCCGCGCACCGCCGCGCCCGCGCACCGCCGCGCCCGCGCACCGCCGCGCCCGCGCACCGCCGCGCCCGCGCACCGTCGCGTTCCATGGCCCTCGCGGCGCCCCGTAGCCGCGCGTGCGCCGCTTCGTGCGCATGCGCCCCGCCGCACCCCCGGGGCCCTCGCGGCGACCCGTAGCCGCGGGCCCCTCAGAGCCGGTGGCGAGATGGCGGTGCGGACGGGAGGCGGGCGGCCGCGCCCGGGGCCGAGGGGCCCGGAGCAGCGTCGCCGCGGCTGAGTCCCCGAGCGGCCTTCGGAGCAGGTGCCGGCCTCCGGGAGCGGGGCATGGTGCGACCCGCGCCGCGCCGCCGCCGCCGCTGAGCCGCGGGCCACGCGGAGCGCGGCCGCGGAGCGCGAAGATGTTTTCCGCGCTCAAGAAGCTGGTGGGGTCGGAGCCGGCCCCGGGCCGCGACAAGAACATCCCCGCGGGGCTGCAGTCCATGAACCAGGCGCTGCAGCGGCGCTTCGCCAAGGGAGTGCAGTACAACAGTGAGTGCGGCGGCGGCGGGCGCGGGCGCGGGCGCGGGGTGACGGCGGCCCCGGCCCGGGCCGCGGGGCCGCCCCGCCGGCGGGGGCGCGGCAGGCCCGGCCGCAGGCCCTGGGCCGAGCTGAGCCCGCCGGTGGCGGTGCGGGCGCCCGGGCGCTCCCCTCGCCGGCGCTTCCCGGGGCCGCGGGGCCGGGGCGCCCTGGGCCCGGTCTGCACTGGGACACGCGCCGCCGTGTCCGCTCCCGGTGCGCTCGGCGGCGCCCGGGCGGCCTCGGGGAGGGATTCTTACATAACGTGGGGGAAGCGGTGGGATTTTCCTTTGTTGATTTCGCATTTGACGGCGGAGTGCCAGGACGCCCCCCCCCACACACACACACCATTGTCTGGAGGAGCGTTTGTGGGGGTGTAGTTAGCAAAGCTCCAGAAGGCACGGGCTCTCCCGCTCCTGGATGCGGGGACCGGCCTCCCTTCCCTGCGGGAAGAGGACCGGTCCGCCGGCCATAAATTATGTAGATGGTGCAGCTCCGGATGCTGGCGGCTCCGTGGCCTCCTTTTAAGTTTCCATCTGCTCCGGGGTCGGATGTTCTCTGCTTTCAGAGTGCGTCCCCCTCGGCCGCGCGTGTGCTGCAGGATGGTGGGGGCCTTGCTCCTTCCTCTAAGGGGGCCTTTCCGTCCACGGGGACACATCTGGGCGGTGACGTGTGATCGTAAGAAGCTGACCGGGAAGCCCCTGTGCGGGTTTAAAAGGGAGGTGGCCCTGGCCGCTGTGGCTCAGCTGGTTGGAGCGTGGTCCCCTGCACAAGGGTCTCGGGTTCGAGTTCTGGTCAAGGACACCTACCAGGTTGTGGGTAACCCTAGTGGCAGCTGATGGATGTTCTCTCTCTCTCTCTCTCTCTCTCTCTCTCTCTCTCTCATCGACTCTCTTTCTCATCAATGAAAACCATGCCCTCGGGTGAGGATTAAAAAAGAGAGGGTGGTTGTTGATGTATTTGCACTCACAACTTTGTATGTATTTCTTTCACATTCGGAGAAGAGAATAGTAAATCAAAATACTTAATTTCAAACCGGTTTGGCTCAGGATTGAAAGGTCTCAGGTTCGATTCTGGCCAAGGGTATGTACCTTGGTTGCAGGCACATCCCCAGTAGGGGGTGTGCAGGAGGCAGCTGGTCGATGTTTCTCTCTAATTGATGTTTCTAGCTCTCTATCCTTCTCCCTTCTTCTCTGTAAAAAAAAAAAAAAAATCAAAAAAAATCAACAAAACATATTTTAAAAATATACTTATTTCACAAACTTGATCCTGTACTTAATTTCATTGCTTTCAGTTTTATTTTAAACTTCATTCCATCTGGCAGATGGCCCTCGCTGTCCGCAACCTGCCCAGTTTCCCTTCCCGGCTTTCTCCTGCTCTGGTGTTCATTTGCTCAGCAAATATTGATCGTGTGCATCCGTGCATTCTGGGCCCCCTGCCTCCATCCAAGGCCGGCAGTGGGCACAGGAAGTGGGTGACCGTAGAGCCTGTCTGAAGATTGAAGCCAGGGAACCAGACGGGACAGTGAGGGTTCGGATGGGGTTAGAGGTCAGAGCTGGCAGGGGGGCGGGGGCAGAAGGTAGGGAAGGTGTGGCCGTGCAGTGAGGTGGGAGGAGCACAGGACGCCCAGCCTTCAGCTCCGTTGTGAGCCGACTGGAGGGAGAACGAATGCCCAGGCTGGAGCAGAAAGCCGGCCTGTGTTGGGGACAGGCTGGCTGCCCAGGGGCAGGGCACCCTGGGAGTTCTCTTTTCCAGGAACTGTGTGTGGCTGTGAGTGAGTGAGTGTTGAGTCAGGGTGGAAGGGATTCCTGGGCCGGCCGCTGAGCCGTTTTCTGATGGAAATGGCAGGTGGGTCTGTACAGCAGCGGCTTCACATGCTGCTTATCGAGGGCAGCTCGGCCGCTTTGGGGCGAATCTTAATTGAAGGTTTTCCAGGTGAAGCGGGGCGGGGGGTTGGGGGGAGCTTTCATTCCATTGCCCTTTCTTGGCCTTGGTTCCCTGGAGGCAGCATTCTCAGCGTGGTGTCGTCATCTGAGCCAATGTCTTATTGATTTGATTTTCTTAAATTTAAAAGTAGAGGCTAGACCCTAGCAGGTTTGGCCCAATGGATAGAGGGTCTGTGGACTGAAGGGTCCCGGGTTCGATTCCCAGTCAGGGCACATGCCCGGGTTGCAGGCTGGATCCCCAGTAGGGGGCGTGCAGGAGGCAGCCCATCAATGATTCTCATCATTGATGTTTCTATCTCTCTCTTCCTCTCCTTTCCTCTCTGAAATCAATAAAAATATAGAAAATAAAATAAAATCTCAGGAGTAAACACATTACGGAGGAGCAGGTCAGAATCAAGGCATTTGGAAGTCCTTGTGTTTTTAAAAAATATCTTTTATTGATTTTTTACAGAGAGGAAGGGAGAGGGAGAGAAAGAGTTAGAAACATCGATGAGAGAGAGTCATCGATCAGCTGCCTCCTGCACGCACACCCTCCCCCCCACTGCGGATGTGCCCACAACCAAGGTACATGCCCTTGACCAGAATCAAACCCGGGACCCTTGAGTCCGCAGGCCGATGCTCTATCCATTGAGCCAAACCGGTTTGGCAGTCCTTGTGTTTTTGAAGAGGAAGACAAACTTATTACAGCAAATGTAAATGTTAGAAACTTAAGAGATACCAATCAAAGAATAGAAACATGTTGAGATCTTCCAAATACCAGGCAAAAAGAGGATCAAAACCCCTGCTCAGGTAGTTAGGGGGAGGCAGCCCCTGACAGCTCCATGCCCAGCCGCGTCCTGGTCCTCGCCCGCCCACTGGCTCCACAGGCCACTCCTGACTGCCCCCTTCAGCCCCAGGCACCCGGTGCTGAAGCCCGCCTTCTCTCGAGGCAGCGGGATGTCCACACTCCTGCCTAGAGTGCGGGCTCTGGCCCCTGCACAGCCCCGGCCCTGGCCCCTTTCCCCACAGGCATATGGCAGGCTCTCCCCGACCCTGCTCTGCCCTCCCGCATCCACTCCTGGCACCAGGCCACTCCATAAATACCTGTCAGGGGCAAAATAGAATCCGGCTTTGTGCCGTGACCCCCGCATGTGTCCGCAGATTGTGCACTAAAAACACAGAGCAGAGGAAAGTAGGTTAAGAGCAAACCACCAGCATCTAGGAAGCTGCCCGCCTGACTCCAGCACCCAACCTTGACCTGGCCCTGGCCCTGGCCGTCCTCGGAGCTCGGCTCCAGGAGAGACGCTGTCCCGTGAGAGCAGAGTCTGAGCAGACGTCGCTGTCAGCCCAGGAGGGAGTGCAGGGCGGGACAGCAGAGGCCTGGCCGCCCCGGGGCGCTGACGGCCCCTCTGCCAGCCCACCCTGGGGCTCCGCTCCTCCTGCTCGCCAGCCGCCCAGGCAGGGTCTGGGCAGAGGAAGGCATGTGCACACAGAGGGTGACGCGGAAGTTTGCTTTGGTTGGGTTTGTTAGCCTGATCTGCCCTCTCTCCCTCCCGCCAGTGAAGATAGTGATCCGAGGGGACAGGAACACGGGCAAGACCGCGCTGTGGCACCGGCTGCAGGGCAAGAAGTTTGTGGAGGAGTACATCCCCACCCAGGAGATCCAGGTCACCAGCATCCACTGGAACTACAAGAGTGAGGGCAGGGCGCGGGAAGCGGGGCGGGGGGTGGGGGGAGCTTTCATTCCATTGCCCTTTCTTGGCCTTGGTTCCCTGGAGGCGGCATTCTCAGCGTGGTGTCGTCATGAAAACTACATGTGTGAGAGCGCCCTGACCTCAGAGGGCCTCTCGTGACTCTCATCAAAGTCACTTCAAAAAATAAGTTATAAAAAGCAAAAAATAAATAAAAAGTTCCTTCTGGGACGCCCTAAGTCCCCTCCCAGAGGAGCAGACAGGGCAGCGGGGGCCAGGGCTCCACTCTCGAGCCGGAGACCCTGGAAAGACAAAAGCTCTGGCCTAACGCGGGATCCGGCCCGCCCTGGGGAGCCGGCCCCCGGCCATAGCCTCTGCGGCCCCGGGAGGGCCTGTACCTGGCGGCCTCCCGGGTGGCCCAGCAGGACACGGGCCTCCGCAGGTCCTGGGACCTCTGCCGGGCGGTGTGGCCCCTGCTCGCCCACCAGGGCTCCTGCAGCTCGGGGGGTCCGTCCCCCCACCGACTGGGTGAGGCTGGCAGGGGCTCCTCGGTTCCCCTCAAAATCCTCGGGGTGGAAGGTGGAGGGCTCCCTGCCACCTAGGGAGGGGTTGTCCTGGCCGCAGCACATGCAAAGGTCCTGGGCAGGAGCTGGGTGGCCTAGGGCGGCGCCAGGGAGAAGCCTGTGGCCCTAAAGCCATCGCTGTGGCCCCAGCAGTCACGTGGGCTCTGACCTTCTTTTCCCGTTGCAGCCACTGACGACATCGTGAAGGTGGAGGTCTGGGATGTGGTGGACAAAGGTAAAGCCTGCCTTCCTCTCACGTCTCCTCCCTCCCCTCCCCAGCATCCTCTCAGCCCCGCCTCCCCCCCCGCCCCGCACCAGCTCGTAGGCGTGTCCTTGTCCCGGGCCCGTCGGCCTGCAGTGTCGGCTCTGCCGCCGCCTGGCGGTGACGTCAGTGTCCTCCCAGAGCCCACCAGGTCTGGTTGGTGCTCACGTCCGTTTAGTGTATGGGCCCCGGGCCTCTCCCTGCGCTGGTGGACGTGTGCACAGCAGCCACCTGTCAGGTCTGCGCTGTCTGAACGCCTGTGTCACCGGGACTGCGGTGGG